AGTTCGCTGAGTGCGCGTGTGCGCAGTTTCCATAAAATTGAACTTCCGCATTGCAAACAAGGAAAGGAGCAAGGAAAACAGCTGAGGAGGGCCAATTCAATCTGCTGCCCCTGATCAGCTGAGCTTCAGAAGCAGAGATAAAGGTCAGTATAACCCGGGGTGGGCAGGCAGGCCCACTTTCACAGCAACAGAGAACCGGTTCACTCTCGGCAGGAAGTGAGAACTACAGGTTCAGCTGAACCGGGCCAAACCAGTAGAATCCCACCACTGCTTTTAATGTTGGAGGTGAGTGAGTAGCTCCCCAGATCCTTGGTGAAGGACAGAAAGCTTTAGCTGCATAAGGACAATGAAAGAATGTGTAGTGATGAGGACAGCTCTCTGGCTGAGGAACAAGCCCTGCCTCACGTTTATAAATACTTGGAAGTACCCTGGAAGCCTCATCTTGAAAGTATCAGTGAGTGAGAAAAGGACGAGACTGACAGGCGTTGAGAGCTAGAGATAAAACAGATGAGTCAGCATGAATGAATACAGAAAGTAGCTGGTGTTATAGTTGTCTGTAGCATTGCAACAGAGATCAACTGGAGGATGGAAAAAAGAAATTGAGTTGGAAGGAATTCAGATTGCAATTGATTTTTCAAATAAAAATCCAGGAGTGAGAGAAGCCCGGGAAGAGAATGAAGGAGGTTGGGAAGTCTTGCTTGCTTAGCAAACTAAGGGCATAAGGTTTGTGGGCACATAATCCTGGTAGATGTTTAAACAGGATTATTGTAAATTGATAAACTGATCGTGATCATCTCCTAGGTATTACAGCCATAAAACCTTTGGATAATTGTTTTATGGAAACAGAACCCATTCCAGTTCGGGAATCAGATCTAGAGCGGGACTGATCTATGTTAAATGCTCCCAGAAATTTAGTGAGTAAATCTCTCAGCTGCTTCTATTTCCATACTACCATAGTTAGTGAGAACTCTGATAATTCCCCTTTGCAGATGTCTGCCCAATTGATGCAGTTACTACAGATGGTGCGCTCCACCCAGATATCAAAGAAGAGAGGAAAATAAGAGGGTAGGGCCTACCCCTCTCAACCCTGGTTTGATATACAGAATGTTTTGAGTTTAAAAGTAAATCAATTAGGGAATTTAAGTTATACAAAGAGAACCCAGCAGAGCATCCTATTCAAGAGCTTGGTTCCTGAAGAAACAATACAAACATCTACCAAAAAAAAAAAAGTTCACCAGTATCCCAAGCCAGGAACTCTATTCTGTTCTGGCATCTGAGAGCCTCCCACCCATTTAATAAGCCCTTATCTTATACCTCCTTCTGTATGGGGCATTTAGAGCATTATATTCACAAAAAGAGATTCCTGACCCTAACCTGCTCCCAAATTGGGCCCCAGTTACAAGTTCTGAAATAAAGCCACTCATTGATCAGTGAAAGCTTTGGTGCGGTGGTCTAGTGGTGGAACTCTCGCCTCACAATCAGGAGGCTATGAGTTTGATCCTAGGTAGAAGCAGATATTTCTCTCTCTGGGCATGATGAGAATATATCTGCTGAATATAACTCTGAATTGGCGACAGGAAGAGCATCCGGCCTGCTCCATTCAGTTGCCCAGACTCCACCCTGCAAGGGATTATGGGGTTATTAATTGGAGATGATTGATCAGTGAAAGCTTTCTAAAGCTCCAAGCAATGATTTTATCACACCTGAAGTAGTAATGAACTACTCTGGAATGATAGACCCCTATTCTTGCTTTCTGGTTTACTTATATTGATCGGATTGTGGAAATTCCAGAGGATTGGGGCCTAGCCATTATTGTGCCTATTTACAAAAAGGGCACCCAAACCCTGCCAGTTAACTATCAGCCTCTTAAGTATAATTAGTAGGCTCTATGCTAGACACTTTGGATGCGGTGGGTCAGTGATAAGACGCTAAGCTTGTTGATCGAAAGGTCGGCAGTTAAGCAGTTCGAATCTCTAGTGCCGCATAATGGGGTGAGCTCCCGTTACTTGTCCCAGCTTCTGCCAACCTAGCAGTTCGAAAGCACATAAAAAATGTAAGTAGTAAAATAGGAACCACCTTAGGTGGGAAGGTAACAGCGTTCCATGCGCCTTTGGTGTTTAGTCATGCCAGCCACATGACCATGGAGACGTCTTCGGACAGCGCTGGCTCTTTTGCTTTGAAACGGAGATGAGCACTGCCCCCTGGAGTCGGGAATGACTAGCACATATGTGTGAGGGAACCTTTACTTTCTATGTTAGACACTTATACAACAAATTAGTCAAGTGCAGGGGTGAAATGCTCCCCGTTCGGACTGAATCGTCCGATCCGGCAGCGATGGCGGCGGGTGGTTCGGAGAACCGGTAGCAAAAATCCCTGCCCTCCCCCCATGCCCAGCTGAGCCATGCGATCATCAGAGGCTTTTTTTTTTTACTTTTAAAAGCATTTTTTCTACAACCTCTTCGACCAAAAAAAATGCTTTTAAAAATTAAAAAAAAGCCTCTGATGATAGCACGGCTCAGCTGGGATCGTCAGAGGCTTTTAAAAGCATTTTTTCCTGCAACCTCTTAAGGTTGTAGAAAAAATGCTTTTAAAAGTAAAAAAAAAGTTGGCCATGCCCACTCAGTCACATTACCACCCCCACCCCCACCAAGCCACGCCCACAGAACCGGTAGTAACAAATTTTACATTTCACCACAGGTCAAGTAGATTGACTTAGAACATGTACTGCAGATGAGCCATCAGGAATCAGGACTGGACACTAATTATCAACATGCTATTATTCTTCAACACCTAGCCAAAACATACATGTCTAAACCAGGCTCATCTTTGAATACTACATTTATTGATTTCAGATCCACATTTGATCTAGTTTCCAGAGAAAGGCTCTGGTCTAAGCTTCTGCATACAACCATTGACATATGCCTATTATTGCTTATGCACAATCTTTACAAAAACTCCAGACTCAATGCAGCGATGATACTCTAACCTAGAGAGGAGAAAGGCAAGGATGCACTCTACCCCTCCGCTGTTTAATCTCTCTGTAAATCCACTTGTGGCCCAATTAAACCAATTAGAGCACCCTCCCTCAAAATTAACTAATAGACATATTGCCATCCCTGTTATATATAGATGATATAGTACTTTTATCACAAATGCAAGTTGGGCTTAGATGAGCCTTGAACGCGAGTCTGCCTAGTTAATACTTTGAAGAGGCCTTTGCAATCTACACTAGTAAAACTAAGATCATGATCTTTGCAAAAAGACCTAACCTGCACACCTGTAAGATAAATGGCCAGAACATCAGACAAGTCAAATCCTTTAAGTATTTGGGCATAATTTTTCATAGCTCCATAAAACACAGTGCACATCAAAACTATGTTATCCCAAATGCCTAAAAAACAGCAGTAGCAATTCACTCTATTTTTCCAGAGGACTACAGCAGAAGTGGGTTTCAGCAGGTTCTGACCAGTTCTGGAGAACCGGTAGCGGAAATTTTGAGTAGTTCGGAGAACTAAAAATCTATTTTCTGCCTCCCCTGCCACGCCCACCAAGCCACACCCACAGAACCGGTAGTAAAAAATTTTGAAACCCATCACTGGACCACAGTATATTCCAGCAACAGTGAAGTTATATTCAGCTCAGGCTGTTGTACAACTGTTCTTTGGTGCTTAGCTGGCATCTTACTCCTCTTTTATTCCTCTGGAAAGGGTGCGGTCCAAATTCCTAAGAGCTGTATTTAAGATAGCGCACTGCATCCCAAATGTTATACTAAGGAAGGAAGCAAAACTAGCCAAAGTCAGAACAGGTGCATGGATCTACATTTTTGCACATTGGTTAATACTTCTCTTCTTTCCTACAGGTTTTAGTTCTCTGCTTACAGTAGGCAATTTTGAATCAATATGGTTCAGGGCTTTCTCACAAAAACTTCCTTGATTTACAACCACAACTGAGCCCAACATTTATGTTGTTAAGGGAGACATTTGTTAAGTTGAGTTTTGCCCCATTTTATGATTGTTCTTGCCACAGTTGTTAAGTGAATCACTGCAGTTGATAAGTTAGTAACCTGGTTGTTAAGTGAATCTGGCTTCCCCATTGACTCTGCTTGTCAGAAGGTCGCAAAAAGTGGTCAGATGATCTTGGGACACAGCAAAGTTCATAAATATGAACCAGTTGTCAACCAGTTGTGAATTTTGATCACATGATCATGGGGATGATGCAAAGATCGTAACTGTGAAAAATGGTCATTAAGTCATATTTTTCAGTTCTGTTGTAACTTTGAACAGTCACTAAATGAACTGTTGTAAATTGAGGATTACCTGTACCATATCAGCTGAGATTATGCCCTTGTGGACAAGGAGCCATTGAAACTACAGCTCACATCCAGCTATATTTCATCTTCTGTAAGGTCTCAGGGGCTCAATTTATAACACCTTGCCTAATATAACATCCAGGAAATACTCATCTTTTTTTACGTACAACCACTGCTAATCAGATCAGTTCGAAGTAGTTTCTCTGAATGTGGCCAAATTCTGTTATGCTCTAAGCAAAATTAGGCAGGCTCTTAACTGCCCACTGATAAGCCACCACTAATCGTAATATATTATTTTGTCTGATATTTATTTTTGTTTTTTATTATTGTTGTCGTCGTTTTTAATGCTGGTCTGTGACTAATAAAAAACAATGAATTGATTGTAAATTGAAAACAGGGTGAGAAAAATAGGTATAGATAGCTGTGGTTTGGTGTGAATAATATAGAAGTATGCTGGCTGTTGTAATAAATATAATGTGTGGGTGGGAAACAGGCTAGTTTTGCAGAGGTGTGCTGCACATTAAAGTCAGTTTCAGTGTGATGTGTGTTGTAAGGTCCTTATAGAGATTGGCGGGGGAGAGACCAGTGCAGGATATTATGGTGGAGTCACATATTGGCACTGGGAAAAGCAGGGAAAAATACAGAGTATAATACCGGAAATTGCTCAGAGTGATATCTTGTTTTATTTCAGATAAGATGGAGAACTACTTTATTACAACAATGTCTTTTGCTGCTGACCTATGTTGTAATTATATTGGAAGCAGTGCCGATAGATGTGGACAAGACAAAAGTACAGGAGGAAGAAAAAGACAGTGCAAAAGTAGATAATCCGGTAAGTCATTTCATTAAATGTGGTTTTCTTAATGTAATCCATTACCAGTGTTTAGGTCCTCTGTGGCATACATATTAGCTGCATTTAGATATTTCCCTGTTGAGTTCTGGGAATATTAGAGCCAAAGAAAGACAAGATAAAAAAGGTTAAATAAAAGCAATTAGGTTTAAAACATTGTCTTAGGCCAGTGATGGCTAACCTTTTCGGCACCGAGTGCAAACCCATAATGCAATGCATGCATGGCCCATACGCATGCATGCACGACCCCCCTGTGTGCGCCCCCACGCATGCGCACACAGCCCCGTGCATGCAACCCCCCACATATGCATGCACCCCTACCGCATGCGCCCCTCCCCACACGTGTGGCAGAGACCCGAAAACCACCTGGCCGGCGGGAAGCTTACGCGGCTGAGCTGGGGCAACGGCTCGCATACCCGCAGGGAGGGCTCTGCGTGCCACCTGTACCATAGGTTCGCCATCACAGTCCTAGGCTATAAGGTTATATAAGTTTCTAGGCTATAAGGTTATTTCTCAACAAGTATACTTAATTACAGCCAGGTTGGTCTAGTGGGTTAAGGCAGCAGGCTACAAAGAGAGAGACTATGAGCTCAATTCCCACCTTAGCCATGAAAGGCCAGCTGGATGACTTTGGGCCAGTTACTCCCTCTCAGCCTGACCCACCTCACAGAGTTGTTGTTGTGGGGAGTATAGGAGAAGGAAGGTGTGTTGGATGCATTCTCACTGCCTTATTTGCAAAAAAGTAATAAACGTGGGTGCAAATAAATAACATTCAGAGTGGAATTAGTTCAAATTTTAGTATTTGCAGTAATCCTCCCTGAACAGCCATTCATTCAGCAACTTTTGAAGTTATGACATTGCTGAATTAGTTGTAATTACAACCAATTATGGACAGTGTAGTGCCTCTGCAGTTATTTGCTTAAAATTTGGGCACCTTGCCTTCAATTACGTATAACCACAGTGTGTGCTTCAATCCCCCCCTCACTTATCTCCCCCTGTTTCTGCCCTTTTTCCATCCTGCACTCTACTGCTGCTACCTACCCCTACTGCCCTATACCCCCACTGTCCTTTGCCATCTTCTTCCTTCCCCTACTGGCTTGGATCCAGGTGCTGGGCAAGGGCACAGCCCCAAGGTGTATGTGGGAAGCATAGCATGGCAGAGCTTTGTCTGCTCTGGCAGCTTGCTGGGCCGGACTGGGGAAGAGACAGGGTGGTGGTGTGGGCAGCATTGTACAACGTCTTGTGAGGCTTTGCAAGCCCCTCCTGACCCCCTCTTCACAACCAAGCCTGGCAATGCCATCTTATGCACGGTGTGCATATCTTCAGGCTGCACCCTTGCCCAGCGCCTGGATCCAGGGCCAGCAGCAAGGGAAAGAAGATGGTGAAGATCAGCTGGGCGCAGCAAGGGGGATAGTAGTGGTAGGCATCATTGGCGGAGTGCAGGGGGCCCCAAAGGACAGAGATGGGGAAGGAGATACACAGGTTGAAGTGCACACGCAGTCGTAAATGCAAGCGAGTTGCCAATTGCCCAAATTTTAATCATGTGACCACAATGTTCATAACGTTGGGGATTGGTTCGAACTACCACTTTGTTCAATGTAGTCATAACTTTGAGTGGTCAATGAATGTTAAGGGATGAACATTTGTAAATGCTAGAATTTGAGCTATTCCCATCCTATGGGGTAAAAAGAATACGTTTCAAAGGGCAGAGATGGGGAAATTAGGCGGGGGGGGGATTGAAGTGGAGGCAAGCAGGGCAGGGGGGCAGACCCTCAAATGCTGAAGGCTGCTCTCTCTCCAGGCCTGTCTGGGGAGGAGGCAGAGGGACGAGGGTGGCAATTCATGCCGGGCAGGAGAAGTGTGAAGTCCTTATCTAATGACTGCACAGTCCTCACCTAATGACCAGAACTGAGACTACCAGAACTACTACTGCAAAGCAGCACAGTCACATGATGTTTCACCTAATGATCGCTTCACTTAGCGACAGAAACCCTGATTCCAATTAGGAATGTAAAACGCAGGCTATCTGTAGTTTATGGTGGAGCTTGACAGGTTGTTATCTTTTTTTTGTTCGAAGCCACAGGATCCTTGATTTTGGTCAAATTCCTCTCACCTGGCTTCTGGTCCTGAAATTTTTACAGGGAGATTGGCTTAGTCTAGGAAAAAAATACAAAGTTTGGTTTAAACTTACAGACCGCTTTGCAAAGTGGAAGAGACTCTAATTATTTTCCTAAACAAAGTTGGCCTGATTAGGACAAGCAGGCCTTTGCTTTCTGTTGGCAGAAACATTTTAAGAAAGAGTTAATGCATTGAATAAGACTTGCTTCTGACGGAAAGCAGGCTAAAAACATTCAAAGCAATCTGGCAATCTTTATAAGTGTTGGAACTGCAAGACCAGTTCATCAAACCTAGAAAGGTTCCTTATAATTTCAGAGAGAAAAGAGAAAAATATTTTCTTCTTTTATAGGTTCCAGTGAAATCCAAAACTTGGCATTTCAAATTGAACTGAACTCGTAGGATGTGTGTCTGTGTTTAAAATTAATTCTTGCTGTGTGAATTTGCTACACCTTCAGCACTGAACAACAAAAGATTATAATTGATTGTTGGAAAATCAGCAAGGATAAAGCACACCTACTGTAGATGAAATATTTTTTATAGATAAAGTAACATTTCTCATCCCTGCCTCTACTTTATTAAGCTAATGGTAATTATATGTATATCTTAAAAGGACACTGGATTGTATTATGATGCCTATCTCAGGCAAGTGATAGAAGTTTTGGAGACAGACACACATTTCAGAGAAAAACTCCAAACAGCAAACATAGAGGAAATAAAGGTAAGCATAATAACTAGCAAATTTTAATAAAATGAAAACAATGAGATCTGTGGTTTTACCTACCCTGTGTTCATTGAGAAAGAATGCAATCACTTGCTGTAAGCATGTCTCTCAAACAATACTAAATATGTAGCTTCTTTTGGAAAAACAACCCTAAAAACTAAAACCTAGAATTCTCTGCTTTCTAGTAGAAAATTAAAATGAATTATTTTGAATCCTGTATTAATTTGTGATATCAACACATCTTTTTCTCGTGGAATATTTACCTTGAAATCTTCTTAAACTTTGCAATTCAATGTCTACATTACCTAACTTGCGCTGATACAAAAAGCAACTGGGTTCTCACATGGCAAACCCAAAATACAATACATGGATTTGATTACATATATTATGTGAACCCAGCAATTCTGATCTGTAAACTATGATTTTTGACTTTGTATTATGTACACGCTCAGGTGGTTCCCAGTGGTGGGATTCAAATAATTTAACCAGTTCTCTGCCCTAATGACTGGCTGGGTGGGAGTGGCCATGGTGAGCATGGCCAAGGGGTGTGATAGGCAGCACTCGGCCTCCTGCACTCTATGAGCAAAAACAGGCCGCGGGGGGGAAGTGCCACCCATGCCCCGTTTTGGGCCTAGGAGGCCTCCCTGAAGCCTCCTGGGAGTGAAAATGGGCAGTGGGGGGGGGGATGTCCGCATCCCCCATGCCCCATTTTGGGCCTAGGAAGCCTCCCTGCACTTACCTGGGAACCAAAATGGGTGCGTTGGGACTCCTGGAAGTGGTGGGGTGGGGTGGAGCCAGCCAGCAATTTAGCTACCGGTTTGCCTGAACCGGCCCGAACCAGCTGAATCCCACACTGGTTATTCCCCAATCCAAAGCATAAAATATCATGCAGCCTTTGGCCATTGCTGAACACAACTCCCAATACTTGGTCAGCATGACGATTGGGGAGGTGGGCTGAAAGATATATTTATTTATAAAATGTATTGGCCACCCATCTTACCAGAGGATAACACTAGGCAGCTTACAATCATATATGTATGCTGTATATGTATATGTACATGCACATGCATGTATATGTGTATATGTATATGTAGGAACCTAGGTACTCCCACATTACACCAATCCTCCGTGAGCTGCACTGGCTTCCTACTGGTCTCCTGTCACAATTTAAGGGGTTGGTTATTACCTTTAAAGCCGTATATGGCTTAGGGCCAGGCTATCTTCGAGACTGTCTTCTACCGCATAGCTCCAAGCGACCAGTAAGATCCCACAGAGTTGGCCTCCTCCTGGTCCCGTCAGCTAAACAGTGTCGGCTGGCGGGTCCGTGGGGAAGGGCCTTCTCTGTGGCTGCCCCGGCTCTCTGGAATCACTACCTCCTGAGGCCCGGACCACTCCCACCCTACTGGCCTTCCGGAAAATGGTGAAAACCTGGCTTTTCCGGCAGGCTTGGGGCCGTTGATCTCGCCACTGCGATCTTGCGAGATCCCGCCATGAGTGGTGTGTATGGGTTTTTTTAATGTCTCTTATTGTATATTGTTCATATTGTCTTTGTTGTAAGCCGTCCAGAGTCGTCGGAGAGTTGGTTGGCATAGAAATATGAAAAATAAATAAATAAATAAATAAATAAATAAATAAATAAATAAATAAATAAATAAATAAATAAATAAATAAATAAATAAATAAATAAATAAATAAATAAATATAAAAACATAAGTTAATGCCAACCACTAAAATCCAATTACAGAGGGGGAGGGGAAGGGCGGGGGGGGGGGAAGATGGGACAGCTCAACAATATCTGGAAGGCCATATTCAATGTCTAAATTCAGTGCGCCTGTGGTGCAGAGTACTTACTACAATACTAGCTGGAGTACTTTGAAGAGTCTTAGAAATACTTTACAGCATTCCCATGCTATGATCTTCTTGAGTTCTTTTATTATTCCTGTACGCAATTTTTTTCTACCACCCCGGAACAAATATCTTATCCAGATTAAAATATCCACTAGTCCATACTTTCCTATGCAACTTTCCCTGTTGTCTGATGGATTTCAACCAGAGGTGGAAACAGCAGGCCAGTCGAAGGGAGTTTGATGTTGAATGGCTAATAAGCAGCAGCTCACTTCAAGTGAGGAATGATTTTCCTTTCTGACTCCTGGCATGAAAAAAAAACAACAGCTGAGACATAGTATTGGGGAATTTACCTGTGAAATTAATGTTAAATGAAAACATTATTGTTCAACCTTTTCCAGGATGCATTTTAATAAAGCAAATCATCCCAATATCAAGTTATGACTTGTTACAGCCAAATTGCAGCATGTGTTCTTGGTGTCATTCATTCCAAAGATTTCAGTTCAATATAGAAAGGACAGTTTAATCCAGAGTGATTGTGATGTACATAGAAGATGCTGCATATTGTACATAATTGTAGTTTAAATATATTTGCTTCAAACTACTGCTAGTGGCACGTCTATTAAAATGTTTCGGAGAAAATTGTTGCTAGTGCTGAAGGCTCTGCCTTTGGGAGGAGTGTCTCAAAAATCCATCCAGGAGTTGAAAATTATTATTTTACTGGATTAATGTATGCCGCCTAGAGTTAGCTTTGGTGAGATGGACGGCCATATAAACCTGATTGATTGATTGATTGATTACTAACTAACTAACTAACTAACTAACTAATAGTTAGTATTAATAACTAAATATTGTGCATAAACTGTTACATCATTGTGCATCAGTCTTTGGTATATGCTATTTAGGTACCTTCTCAATCAGTTTGATTTCCACTGAATTATTAAGTGAAAAAGATAACTTATCAATGCTCACACCCTCTGCTTTTAAAGTTTTGCTTGGTGTTTGAAAATTTTAGATGTTGGTTTCTCTTAGGAGAATGGAATGTTATTTTACTTAGTGCATTCAGTTATAGATGGTAACCAATTAAATTATTCTTTAGAAAAATAATGACTTTTTGTGTCAATGCTTTGTTATTGTTGACAGAGTGGAAAGTTAAGCAAAGAGCTAGACTTAGTTGGCCATAAGGTGAGAACAAAACTGGATGAACTGAAAAGGCAGGAAGTTGCAAGATTAAGGATGTTAATCAAAGCCAAGATTGATGCATTTCAAGGTAAGTAGACAAAGGAGGAAAAAAAAGAATGAATTGGCAATAATGTTTCAATTTTCTCCTTCATTTACAGCTGTGTTTGAATCAGATAAAACTGTTCCTGTGTTTTTTTTTACTTCATTACTTATTCTTGATCTACTCAGAAATTAGGGGTGAGAATGACAAGCTTGTTCTGAAGAAACAACATCTGCAAAATAAATTGCTTGAAATTGAATCAGTTTAAAGAAGGGGTTTCCATTGTGACATTGTCATGTAGCTTTGTGTTATTTTTTAAATAAACCATTCAAGTAAATCTCTGTATGGGAGGAATGCAGTATTTCAGATAATAATCCATATGTTCAAATCATGAAAATTCATCATGTGTAATGACAACTTTAATTGTGGAAGAGTTTTAATCTTCTCTACAGCAGATGGTAGCAATTAAGTGACCTTGGCTGATTTCAAAAAGTTAAACAGAATCAAACCTAGAATAGTGTTTAGATGACCTACCAGGGAGTTCTTGGTTTGTAGACCAAAGTGTGAAATCCCAAAAAGCAACAATCCAGATGGGAAACCCCTTCCATATTGACATGCCAACACCAGAAGCCATGTTGGAGAGTTAGGGCCAGTTTACACAATTATCCCTTTTACATTTCTTTTTTCCTTCTCTTATTTTGACTAAAACTATTCCATTCCAAAACATATCACTACACTGCAAGTCACTTCTCAAATATTATGAAGATGAAGTGGGCTATAGGAAGAAAGCAATTCATACCCAACCAATGTTGCCTTAATGGAGTTCTGAAAATTTTATATCAATTTTTAAAACTCTCTGATTATACCCAAGTAGGGTATAATAAATAATATTACCAATAAAATATTGTTACTTTAAAATCTATTTTCTTCATCTTATACAAAGGCTCCCAAAAGGCATAATTCTTTGGAGAGGGCTAGGATTATAATTTCCTGATTTGGAAATGGTTAGTGCGCCTTTATTTCCTTAGTAAGAATTGTTTGGTGTCTAAAAAAAAAATCTGTGGGAAAATAACTTGATAATTTAATTTATAGCTGCAAACCTATATCTTGCTTGGATTGCATAGCATATCAACAAGTAGCAAAAGTAGAGGCATTCTTCTTTAAAAATGTTGTCATACTTTAAGAGCACTTTGGACATTCCTCCTCCTTTTTATTTAAACACCCAAGCACTGTCCTTTGCAACCTAAATTTATTCATAATCTCAAGTGCCCAATGGCAGTCCAGTTATACAGGTTTTTCTGTCTCTTATCGATAGCTTTTCCTGACTGGCGTATATTCTCATTCTCTCTACACCTTGTTCCTGTGGTTAAGGTCAAGCAGATTTTTGTAATCTCCACATAAGCAAGCGTTAAGCCACCTGAGAAATTGCCTTCAGATTAGAGGGAAGAATCACCCCAAGCGATTTGGCCTGTCCTGAGCAGGCCTGTTATCCTCACATGCCATGGAGGAAGCCATCTTATCACCAGGACTGAAAACAATTCAAGATCTGGGCTAGTCAGTTTTTATATCTGGAGTCTATGTTTGTAGGCGTCCTGCTAGCAACAACTTCAACAACAACAGCAACCTGTTGAGGCCTACCTTTTATATCGCCTGGGCATTTTTCATCTAATGAAAAACCTCTGTTGAACTTGTGAATGCTGTCGGTTATGAATATCTTTGTAAAATATGAATTGGCTTATTTTATATGAAATATAAAATAAGATACGCTCTTGAATTCTACCCAGTGCTTGTTGTATTGTATCTATCAATGTAGTCACCACGGTTCTGTTTTTGTGTGGGTTGCTTTTAGATTCTGGCATAGACCATCAAGCTCTTCTCAAACAGTTTGAGCATCTGAACCATCATAACCCTCACACTTTTGAAGTTAAAGATTTAGACATGCTAATCAAAGCTGTAAGTGTCCAGCAAATATTTTCTCAGATGATTGTTTGCTCTCTCTCTCTCTCTCTCTCTCTCTCTTTTTTAAAAATATATTTTTCTGTACTGGTCTGAAATTTTGTCTCTTTAATTTGTCAGTTTTAAATACCTTTCATAGTTATCTCAGGAATCTTAACTTGGAACTCCATTTGGATCCATAATATAATGTTGTGTTACATAAGATTTGTACACTTTAACAACTGCCCTTTGCCCATCTGCTTGTTCTCCTTGTAGTGAGTGCATCATGGAATGAATGTTCTCAAGTCAATATAAGCAGCTTTATATTTTTACTAAGTCTTTAAACCTTTAAACTGAGCCAATTTAATTCCTTCTCACATTTTATTATACGTGGAAGTAACTTCATATTAGTCAACCAATATTGTTTCACCGGATTAACAGTCTGTTTAATTAGTATTCAAATCAGTTTAAATGTACTCAGTTTTCCGAATAATAGTATAGTTTGTTTTGCAATGTTAGAAATCTCATTTGCAACTTTAAAAAAACCATTCAGTGATGGCAGGAAAAGCTTCTTCAATGCAGCAGATCCTGAATAGCTTTAAAATATGCTTAAGTGTATATCTGTTTAACATCTGCTCCATGGATAAATGAACGATTGCATTTATTAATTAACTTACTAATTAAAACTTAACTTTAAAAAAATTAAAAAGATGGTCCTCTCTCTTTCTTGAGGGCTTCCATCAAGAAACAGAATTGCAGATATGAAAAGTATAACTGAAATAAATAAATGTGTAAAGATAGTATGTAGAGCCAGTTTGGAGTAATGGCTAAGGCCTCAGACTAGAAATCAGGACACTGTTAAGTTCAATTCCTGCCTTGGGCATCTTGGCCCAGTCACCTCTCAGCCCCAGGAAGGAGGCAATGACAAAGCACTTCTGAAAAACCTTCCCAACAAAACTTCTCTAGGCAGTCTCTGAGAATCAGGGACGGTTGAACAGAAAAATAAAAAATAAAGTTAGGGCAGACTTCTATTAAGGAAGCTGTGTTAGTCCCTGTTGCAGGAGGGAAGGAGGAAGGCAATGCCCCTCTCTTCCCAGCTGAGTGGCATGCAAACAATCCTGTTTGTCCACACCTTACAGGCAGAGGTGGGATTCACTTACCTTCCCTACTGGTTCGCAAATGTGAATGTGTGTGCTCGCTGCTCTCGAATGTTCGGCCTTCCGCGCATGTTTGCACTCGTGCCTTCCGCGCATGTGCACAGCCTCAAAAACGTGGCTAAATAGGATGTAATTACATCTGGGCAGGTGGGCAGAGCCTACCGCAGTCACCGCTACCGGTTCTCCTGAACTGGACAGAACCGGCTGAATCCCACCACTGCTTCAGGTCCTATGTAAGGTCCTATGGAGATTCTCAGTCACCCAGGTCACAGTTATCCCTAAGGTGCTTTTTCAAAAGGCAACTGGACCGTTTTTCCTTGAAGATGTTTCGCTTCTCATCCAAGAAGCTTCTTCAGTTCTGACTGAATGGTGAAGGATGGAAGGATTGCTGCAAGGAATATAAATCCTTCCATCTTCCACCATTCAGTCAGAAACTGAAGAAGCTTCTTGGATGAAAAGTGAAATGTCCTCAAGGAAAAACAAAGTCCAGTTGCCTTTTGAAAAAGCACCTTAGGGACTTACAAGTTCATGATCATGGCTCCTATATTGTAGTCCTTCAAAAGAATTATTGAAAGGCACAGATTGCACATATATTTATGATTTATTATTAGATCTCCCCCCTACCTTTATTACCTTGTATGTAACTCAAAGCGGTGAACATGTTTAATATTCCTTCCTCCGCCTATTTTCCCTGCAACAACAACCCCGTGAGGTGGGTTGGGCTGAGAGAGAGTGACTGGCCCAAAGTCGCCAACCTGGCTTCCCATGCCTAAATCAGGACTAGAACTCACAGTCCCCTGGTTTCGAGACTAGCAACTTCAACACTAACCAAACTGGATCATTTATAAAAAAAAAATTTATAAAAAAAAAATTGATCCAAATCAAAATGCACAGCCTCCTTTGAGTCAAAGTCTATACTTCGAGTGATGTGCTGGTAGTTGTATTTTAAAAACTGGGCGAAGATCTAAAACTAATTAATTAAATATTTAATGTGTCTATGCCTATATCTAATAATTTTCCCTTTATGATACCTGAACAATTAACAAATTTGTGGTAATATTTGGGGATATTTGGGGGCTGCTTTCAAAGCATGGTGAGTCCAAATGGCACCTCTCTACTTTAAAGATTATTTGTCTATTCTATTTTTATTGCTTTTAAAAATACTTATCTTCTACAATTTTATTGCTTTTAATGTTGCAAACTACCCAGAGTTGCTTTGAAGTAAGATGGGCAGCAGACAAATATTATCAATAAAATAAAGATAAAATAAAATATCCAAGGCCAGTCAGTTTAATTGTGACAGTAACTGTTAACAATCACACTTCAAAATAAAGTCAATTTTGTTATTCCTATTTTCTAGAGATGCAGGCAGAAGCATTAAAAAATGAGCTTTTAGCACCCCCTAGTGTCAGTAATAGTTAGTATGTGGTAATCACTGGTAGAGCATTCCTGTAACACCATACCTTCTTTATAAGTGAGGCAAGGATTTAAGGAAATAGTGCTGAGTTTTCTCTGTGGGAGACAATTATAGTATTAAATGAATTACATAAGATACTGAAGAGTATTAAAGAAAATGCTCATTAAAGAATATAATCCAAGAGGTGCACATAAGGAAACAGGATGAAAAATACTTAAAATGTAAAAAATTAGAATCATTTGTAGCATTAGCGGAAGAAAAGAAAAGAGGAATACTGGTGTATATTAGAGAAGGAATAGAGGGTAATTTGAGATATGCAGATGCAGCAGGAAGAATATTGATGATAGAAGTAAAATTAGAATATAAAAATGTTTTATTGGTGGTCATCTATGCGCCCAATAATGGACAGTTAGAATTTTATTAAAAAGTACATGAAAAGATATTAGAAGAAAAAACAGAGAACTTTAATTGGCGATTTCAACGCAATTGTAGATGTAAAAAAGGATTATAGCAGTGATCAGAATAATAAAAAAAAAGAAAAATGTACTCCCTAGAACTTTTATGGACCTAGTAGAAGAATTAAATTTAATAGACAGTTAGAGATTCTATAACCCCAAGGTAAAGAAATTTACATATTATTCCAATCCCCACAAGTCCTGGTCCAGAATAGACATGGTATGGATAACTAAGACACTTATTCAAGAGATAGAAACAGTAGAAATAATGTCAAACAATTGGGCTGATCACAACTCGGTAATATTGATATGGAAAGGACATCAAAGGAAAAAGAGGAGATGGACGTTGAGCCCACAGATACTGAAGGAAAAGGAATATATAGAGCAAATGAAAAAAGAATTAGAGTTGTTTTTTAGAGACAATACAAAATACCATACTTCCCTTCAGAATCTATGGGATACAATGAAATGTGAGGATTGGTCATAAAGTTACTTTTTCATCACAGTTGTGTTTGTGAATGGTTGTTAAACAAGGCAGTCACTAAATGAAGACTACTGTAATTTTAGATAGTATGGCTAAAAGCTCAATTTTTTCTAAGTTTAGATGCAGTGAAGATACTTAGTATACAATAGTAATTCTAAGTTTTTTCGTATCTTCATTTTCGGTTAATCCGAAGAAGATGGTTGTGGAATTTATTGTTCAGGAATTCTTTATGAACTTGGATATATCCCGAGAAAAATGTCCTGAGGGAAAGGAGAAAATGGCCTGGTCAGCAGGAGTTTCTTAATGCTGCTTAGCTCAATGTTTATCCTCACTCTAGGAAAAAAAAAACAGATTTTGTTTCAATTTTTAACTCTTTATTTGCAGGCTACACATGACTTAGAAAACTATGACAAAACCCATCATGAGGAGTTTAAGAAGTATGAGATGATGAAAGAACATGAAAGGAGAGAATATTTAAAAACACTGGATGAAGAAAAGAGGCACCAAGAAGAAGCTAAATATGAGGAAATGAAAAAAAAGCACGGTGATCACCCCAAAGTTAATCATCCTGTAAGTTCGCTGTTTTTATCCACACTGTATAAAATGTTTTATTTATTTTGTTTATCAAACTTATATGGCCACTCATCTGACACAAGTCCCTCTATGTAGAACAGGGGTCCCCAACCTGTGGGCCGCGGGCTAATCACCACCCTGCCATGTGAGTGGCTGGCTGGTGCATGTACCTCTGTGCATGTGCACAGCCCCACTCGCAAGAGTATTGTTGTAGGTAATTGTGGCCCCACTCACACAAACCTTGTCGTGGGCACTCGCAGCCCCACTCGCGTGAGCCTCATCACAGATGCTCTAGGCCCCACTCATACATGGGCGGAAACATCACAGGTGCTCGCCCGCCCGCACACATGTATACGTCCAAGCCGCCCACCTGGAAAGGTTGGGGAACTCTGGTGTAGTATAACAATTAAAATATTATACAAAATATTATATATTTTATATATTTATATTTTATATATTTTATATTTTTATATATTATATAGTTGTATACCGTATTTCAAACAAATATAAATTTAAAAAAGGGAACACATCAAATAAAATCTGTAGTATGGTCATCCACCAGGATAATGGAACTCATCAGAACTGTATACATGTTGGCCGAGATCCCTTGCTGAAAAAGTCAAGATCACAAGGGTCAGTTAAATGGATACTAAATCATTTATTTATTCATTTATTTCAATATCATGACAGCGTTTACCACACTAAAATATTACAGTTTTTGAGCTTGATTGTTGGTCACTGATCTCATTAAGCTTTTAGACTATAACCAAGTATAAATGCCATTTCCTATGCTTCCCATACAATGATTTCTTAACTAAATAGGATACCATTTAAAAAATGGAAAGATTCTGGGCTTTTTCAAAAATATCTTCATGTTTTCCACATTTTTGTGGAAACTGGAATGTGACTACATTCTATCCATCGTTTTGTCACAGTGATGTCAGTCATCCTACATGGGCATTGCAGAGGGATTAAAATTGTTTTTAGAGTGAATATAAAATATATTTTATATCTGTGTAGTTTTCCATGAGTTTATCCTAAGTGGCAGAGAAATAATGGTATTACAATCTTTTCCTTGCAAGGTACATCAGACAAGAAAACCCAAAAGAGTGCTTTAGGGGAAAATTAATTTGATTTTTGAAGTCCATTGAGTAACCTATGTGATTTTAACTCTATGTTAAAAGCTTCTGTGAAATCATTTGCACAACTGGTGTTCATTATCACCTTTCAGGGAAGTAAAGACCAATTGAAAGAGGTATGGGAGGAAGCAGATGGCTTAGACCCCAATGATTTTGATCCAAAGACTTTCTTCAAATTGCACGGTAAGATTCATAGTTAAAAAACATTAAGAAACAGAATTATCACAGAATATTGACAATCCTGTTGCACTTTTCAGATTAACAAATGTATCATGGCATGTGCTTTTCCAGAAAACCTCAACAGATGCATGAAATGTTTTTCCCCCCACATATTATACAACAGTATATATAATACAACAATATACTGTGTGTTTCTGTATGTGTATGTGCGTGCATGGACTCACACGCACACATTGTTGTACATGGGTTTGCATTCACTTTTTCTAATCAGGTAGCTTACCATATGATTTGCGGCAACATATACAAATATTAAAGTGGGAATGATTGTGGTCTAAAATTATGGATGGGTGAGCTAGTGTCTCTAATTATATATTTATATGACTTTTTTAACAGATGTCAATGCTGATGGTTTTCTGGATGAACAGGAATTAGAAGCTCTATTTACCAGGGAGGTAAATATGTGTAACTGGATTATTTGAGAATCATGAGGTTTCATTTGGCTCAGTGCATGAGCAAATAATGACCATTGAATGGGAATGTTAGAATGGAAATTGAGTTTCCACAGTTTAATTAAATATATCATACTCAAAGTCTAATGAACTTGTACAAAGCAGAATAGTACTATTATTTCTATAGGTATTCTTTGGGACAATTGCAGCAATTGAAGGACAGTTTCATTAGCAAATATAGTAAATGTCAGGAAAATGTTTAACAGAAGTGGTCATCAGTATCTACTGTTTCAGATACTAATTGAATAATAAGAAACAGCTTATGAATTCATTTCAGTAGTACTGAATATCATTAGAATGATATATCCTAATCTAAACAGACTCTCCCATCATTTTGGACTTCATCTTTTATAAACTATGAACGATTTTCTTAAACATTGCTGAGTGGCTAATGTGAAATACATTCAAATATCTGGCACTCATTAAGCTGAGACTAGCAGTATCATGTGTAAATGTCCCATAACTAGGCATATATATTCAAAGATATGTGAGATGTTTTTGTATGGATAGAAGGTTAATTCCTCAATTTCTTAATGATTTAGTAACCTTGAACATTGAAGTTTCAGTCTCCTCTGTCAATTATATAATACTAAAACCTCATAAATAATTTCCCTTTAACTGAAGGGCAGAAACTTTTGAATCAAGGTACCTCAAATGGGCTAAATTATAGAATGCGTCCAAAATCCAGGAACCATGACTCCCGTGGAACTGAAATTTGGCAAATTTTATAAAACATTTTATGACATAAACATTATGATAAAGCAATTGATGGCATAATACAAAATGTTGTTAAACATTTCATGTACTGAAGTTTGATTGTGCTATATACAGTTCAATGTGAGCTACATTTAAGGCAGATAATCTCTGAATATCTCCCAAGGAAAGCTAATCCGAAATTGATTGTTAGATATCAGTATGTGCTATTAAATATGTAGAAAGAAAACATTTATCTCAAAAATATCTATTTTTGTCGATCTTTGTATTTTGTTGCTTTTGCTGTTTATGATGTCAATCATACTGTGGATATTTTAACTTTTGCTATTTCATATGCTTCATTAAATTGCTGAGAGTTGTCTGTTTGCAGTGAGGTGTAAGTTTAATAAATAAATAGCATTAAATCAACATATTTTCATAACAAAATAATAAAAATCTGGATGGCCTGTTCAAAGCAAATTTCTTAATCTTAATTTTAGCTAGAGAAAGTCTATGACCCCAAAAATGAAGAGGATGATATGGTTGAAATGGAAGAAGAGAGGCTACGAATGAGAGAGCATGTCATGAATGAGGTAAACTTTCAGGGCACACATTTTGCAAATAACTGTTAGCAAACTTCTGCTGTTTTAACTAAATGTTAAAACATTTAGTTAAAATGTTTAACTAAAGGTGTGTAAATATGTATTTAAGTAGTGGGCATATTTCCCAAACTAGAACATGCTTCTGAAAATGCTTATTTCAGAGCTTTCCTGACCCCACCTCAATACAGTGTAAGTTTATTACTACTTGTTTAGTTATCCTTATATGGATAGCTTTATTACAATTTGCTGTTGAATGATATCTACTTAAATAATGCAACGAGTAATTGTTCATGAACAGATTGCCTTGGGATGGGAATGTTTACGTGTATCCAACTTTATTTTTAATCAATAAGAATGCTATTCTGGCTAGTGTTTACAACTTTACAACTTTTTACAGTAAGTATATTTAAAGCTATACAATTATTAAAACTTCTACCTTTCCTTCAATCTGTTGAATGACCAGCCTGTGGTCATTGCGAAAACCAGCTTCTCAATGAATGAGATTTCTGTCAGGTTCACCATTATCATGCAAATTTGATATTTCCAATCTGGTTATGTGAGTGGGGGACGGTTGCTGTTTTGTTTTGCCACATAATAAGAAAATATTAAATTTTCACATGCTATTGATACTTGAATGACATGGAATTTTAAATGTTACAGAGAAGTTGCACATCTCTCATCAGGATAGAAATATTTGCAGCACCCCATGAGATGAGATTAATTTGTGTTTTGCTCCTTAGGCACTTATCAATTTATTCCCATCCCTATTACCATTATGTTTTATGCAGTATAACTGATCCTAACTTATTGTGTACCAAAATATGGATTTTCTTAAATAGGGTAGCATTAGCCAGGAATTTCTGTCATGACTTTTCTGCAACCTCATTTCCATTTGTTTTAAGAACTGCAAATATTTTTTTTCCCATGCAATAAGTATTGGAAAGGTAAATTTGTATACAAGAATCTGTAAATATTTTCTATTTTTAATATATATATGGATATTTTGGCGATGTTACACCATGATAGAAAAATTATTATACATTTGTTTTTGAATTTGCTTTTTGATACTCTAATAAAATTTAAAAATATCAATCAATCAATCAATCAATAAATAAAAGTGCAATTGCATGGGAAAAGAACTGCAAATAAATTATATAGCCTAAACTGTGTTTTTTTTTTTTTTTTTTTTTGCTTAAGGTTGACATCAACAAAGACCGGTTAGTCACCATGGAAGAGTTCATGAGAGCTACGCAGAAAAGAGAGTTTTTGGAGCCAGAAGGCTGGGAGGTACTAATGACACTTTCGAACTAAGATTGATCATAGTCATCAGCAAATGGCCCATCTGTTTTGAACTTTTAATCACCTATTTCTTCTTTTGTATTTATCTGTATTTTTTATTAATGACATTATGAAAATAAAATCTGAACAGTGAGTCTAAGGACACTGTGCCTAATTCTCTCTGTGCAGTAACTTCATTGTTTGAAACTAAGTAAGCATGCACATTATGGCAATAGAATTTGAGCAAAGGAATAACTAAAGTTGGAAGCAAAAGAGAATAATTGTTTTACCTGTCTTTTCCTTTATGTGTACATTTTATCCCAAAGTTGACTATGATTAAAAATATTATACAGTTGTAATGCTACTAGGAGAGGGACGCGGTAGCTCAGTGGCTAAGACGCTGAGCTTGTCGATCAGAAAGGTCGGCAGTTCGGCGGTTTGAATCCCTAGCACCACGTAATGGAGAGAGCTCCCGTTACTTGTCCCAGCTTCTGCCAACCTAGCAGTTTGAAAGCACGTAAAAAATGCAAGTAGAAAAATAGAAACCACCTTTGGTGGGAAGGTAACAGCGTTCCGTGTGTCTTTGGCAGTTAGTCATGCCGGCCACATGACCATGGAGACGTCTTCAGACAGAGCTGGCTCTTCGGCTTTGAAACGGAGATGAGCACCTCCCCCTAGAGTCGGGAACAAGTAGCACATATGTGCGAGGGGAACCTTTACCTTTACCTTAATGCTACTATATCTGGAAGTTTCTCTTCTTACAGTAATAGTCCATAGTTACAAAGGAACCTTAAGAGCTTCCACTCCATGGATGGTACTCAAAGGAAATCATGGGAATATGAAGACTAAGTCTGTGAATAACCATCCATTTAAAACAAATACAGTCCATATATTTTCTTGACTCAACTTCATCCAAGGAAAAGGTCAGGGAAAAAGCCAAGAATGGTAGACATAGTTCATCTTTGTTATTGTTGTGAGGAAGAACAATCGGTTTCAGAAGCAGCTCAGAAGATGCTCAGACACAAGGTCTTCTATTGGCAGGTGGTCTCTGTTGGGGTTTGCTCTGTGATGTGGTAGGCTTCAGTTCTTCTCCCTTTAATGAGGAGGTTGATTGTAATTTGGTTTTTAAATGTACTCCAAAGGCAAATTAACTCCAGGTGTGTACATGGAATAGGGAAATGTGAAGCTGATGGAACAGTAAGGGCAATGTTGAGAAATTGTGTCCTTGCCTTTTACTTGGGAGGAATTTTAGAATGCTTTAAAAGCTTAATTTCTCCTTGTCCAAAAATAGGTGATTACCAAACATCTTAAATCTTGGGCACCGATACAGATATAGAGTAGTCTGATTTTTCCCCCCATTGAGATTTCTTTTAAGGAGTTAAGATTTGTTGTTCTTGTTGTTTTTGAGACTCTGGATCAGCAGCAGGTCTTTACTGAAGAAGATCTGAAGGAATTTGAAAGTCACATTTACCAGCAAGAAGATGAATTGCAGAAGCAGGCATTAGAACTTCAGAAAAAGAGGGAAGAGCTACAGCGGCAACAAGACTTCCTTCAGACTCAGAAACAAGAACTTGAAATGGTACAATTAGAGCAGTTGCAAGCTTTCCTTTGCTTGTTTGGAATCTAATTCATTTTGCTTTTAATAAGAAGGACATCTATGCTGCGATGTATACTGCCTATACAGGTAGTCCTCGACTTACGAGCACAATTGAGCCCAAAATTTCTGCTCCTAAGCAAGAAGTCTGATAAGTGAGTTTTGCCCCATTTTATGACCTTTCTGGCCACAGGGTTAAGTGAATCACTGCAGTTATTAAGTTAGTCACACGGTTGTTAAGTGAATCTGGCTTCCCCATTGACTTTGCTTATCAAACAGTCGCAAAAGGTGATCACATAACTCTGGGACACTGCAAACTTCATAAATATGAACCAGTTGCCAAGCATATGAATTTTGATCATGTGACCATGGGGACGCTGCAATGGTCATGTGAAAAATGATCATAAGTCGCTTTTTTCAGTGCCGTTGTAACTTCGAATTATCACTAAATGAACTGTTGTAAGTCGAGGATTACCTGTACTGCCTACATGGGACGGGCTCACTAGTGACAAGCATCCCCATCCTGGAGGGACAGGGACAGCTCTATTGATGGGCAAAATGAATGCCAGATCCTTGGTAGTAACTTTACCTATAGCAGAGATGGGGAACAATGGCCCCTTCATGACTTGTGGACTTCAACTCCCAGAATCCTTGAGCCAGGCCAGCTGGCTCAGGAATTCTGGGAATTGAAGTCCACAAGTCATAAAGGGGCCACAGTTCCCCACTTCTGACCTAAAGCAGAATTCTCACAGTCTTCTTTTACAAAATTTATTTAAAAAGAAGCTGACTAGATCAGGGGTGGGCAAATATGGCCCCTTTATGACCTGTGGACTTCAACTCCCAGAATTCCTGAGCCAGCTTGGCTGTCTCAGGAATTCTGGGAGTTGAAGTCCACAGGTTGTAAAAGGGCCACAGTTGCCCACGCCTGGACTAGATTATAGAAAGTTCTATAACTGTATTACTTCTGTTTTTAGAATCTTTTAACTTGCTGGGACATAAACTTCCGCCATGTTTCGTGCCCCTGCTCTGAACAAAGAGGCTTTCTGAAAGTCTGTTAACCAGTTCACTAAAGAATGTGCAGTTGTCTGTTAGTATTTTCACAACCACCTGAATCCTTATCAAGCTGTGCTGGGAGTTATGGAAAGACAGCAGAGGGTTAATTATTTTAGTATGTTGTTATTTTGTCTGTTCTGGTACTTTTTTATTTATTTGCCAAAATAACGTGGCTGGTTTTTTGAACACGTGAGTTCAGGAAAGAGGTGCCCCCTTGTAACTCTGCCTTGTGTGTTTGTGGTATGTTTCAGTTGTAAGTTCCTGCTTGGTCCATCAAAAAAAAATCAGATTCTGGCTCTTTTTAACAGAAGAATCTGTCTTAGCATGGCAAGAAAGACCAAAGATAAATGCCAGTTTATTATAGGAAATTTTGAGACCTTGATTTAAATGTTCTCCATCTTGCTACATATAAATTAACTGTTTTACAGGCTGTTAAACAAATGGAACAGAAGAAGTTACAGCAAGGACATCCGCCATCAAGTCCAGATGGAGAACTGAAATTTCAACCAGGTAAGTAACTGTCTTCCTCCTGCTCTGTTTTTCTTCCATTGGTTTCCTTTTATTTGCCTACCTAGTAAAAAAACAAGACAGTGAAATAGACTGCTTTTCCTTTACCACAACAGTACACAGATAGCCCTCAACCAATGACTATACAGGCAGTCCTCAATTTATGACCACAATTGAGCCCAAAATTTATGTTGTTAAGTGAAAAATTTGTTAAGTGAATTTGTCCCATTTTACGTCTTTTCTTGCCACATTTGTTAAGTGAATCACTGCAGTTGTTAAATCAATAATAGGGTTGTGAGGTGAATCTGGATTCTCCATTGACTTTGCTGGTTAGAAGGTCGCAAAATGACTTCTGAAGCCTGCAACCGTTATAAACATGAGTCAGTTGTCAAGCATCTGAATGTAAATCACGTGACCATGGGGATGCTGCAATGGCCTTAAGTGTGAAAAACGGGCATAAGTCACTATTTTCAGTGCTGTTGTAACTTTGAACGGTCACTAAATGAACTGTTGTAAATTGAGGACTACCGGTAACAGAACCCGGCCATTACAGTCAGAAATCATGATGGCCATTAAGTGAAGTGCCCATGTGACCTCCTCACTTAACAACCCCCCCATTCCTGTCCTCCTCAATGTGGTCATTAAGTAGAGCCCCCTGGAAGGCCCTGGGAGACCTAATGCAGGCTCTGCCCTGGGTCTACCCCACACTCTGAGCACCTGTGCTTTGCTTTCCACCCTTGGCATCCCTCTAGGCCTTGGTCGTGCTTCCCGCCAGAACTCCACATGTTCCTCCCCACCCACCCCCGCCATCACCAATTGCTTAGTTACCTTTTAGCATAAATCTCCTCCTGAAAGTTCTGGAATTCATGTTGGGAAGGAGAGCAAGCTGCTCCATCTCTCGGTATCCCCCAGTCACATGACTGTGTCCCAGCAGTGAGCATCATGTTCAAATGTCTACCATTATGTCAGAATATATCGAACAATAATGTGTATTATATATTTTGTGCAACATTTTATATGTAGATGAAATATCTGGTCTCATACGCAAATACTGTTTGGGCTTGGACTTTTTCAAAACATTACTTAATGAGAAATGAGATTTTGAGCTTTGTATTATGAAACAATTTCTTATACAATTAACAATTAACAAAATTAAAAAAAATATTTTGTGTTACAGCTGTGTCACAATTAGATGGAAATGTGCAAAATCATCCAGTGGGAGGCAATCAGCCTTTGGCGGCAGGAAATATACCAGTGCAAGAAGCAGCTGCTAGATCAGATCACGTCCAGTCTCATCCTTAACCATTTGTGCCTCGGTTTATACATATTTTGGGGGTGGGTGGGTGGGTGAAATAATCAGAGACTAAAAAGAAATGTGAAAAGAAGGATAATTTTATGTTTCATTTCACATGTGGGATTCATACAGGATTAAAATCCAAATTCAGTGTGTAGATCTTCAAAGGCACAAATGATATAATACAGGATCTTAAAGTTGTTGATATTCTTTTTTTGTCGTTACACATAGGTAGACAACAGGATATCCAACTTTTCCCCTGCAGAATTTTTTTTGGTCTCAGGTATAATTTGGCTTCCTATCATTTGTGCTTTTGAAAATCTTTTTCCTGTTTCACCGTTAAATCATTTACAGAGATACTGTCAAGCAGAAAGTTAAGATGAGTAAACCCTTTAAATTTCTTGATGTTCTCCATTGCTAATGGGTTTGAAGTTGGAGAAGTTTAGAACTGGTCTAAACAAAAGATAACACTTCCACCTCCATTTTAGTTCATGATGGTATGTTTCCAAAAGTGCCAACAACTTAGAGCTGTAATTTTATGGCTATGGATGAATGAGTTGTAACAATTCCTTTGGTTTTCAAGATCCATTGAAAAGAAACATCTGTGATCCAATTTCAAAAAATTCTACTTTTTAAAAGAAGTGTAATTGCAGCACGGAGCCATGGGAAACAGTGAATGTATCTTCTGTTTTATAAAAGCTTATGAATATCAATGTGACAAATCTTCACACTGAAATACTGTGCATTAAAGTGCATTGATTTAGCCATCTTTACTGTTGCTAACTAAATGCAATTCATCGCTGCATTTTGGCTGCAAAGAGGATACTTTTCTTCGCCTCCTTTTTGTAACATGCCAGTTGCATTTATCTCTCTATGAAGTATGAAAGGAAAGCTCTTTAGATGGCAGAAATATTTTTAAAATTAACAAAGACCTTGCATTGTCTTTTCCTTCTTCATCAAAGAGTCATTTCAGAACCATCAGTGTATTTCAAACAATGTTTGTCAGAAACTACATTTTGAATGTTATTGAAATACTTAAATTACATTACTAGACAGGACTACAAGGGCAAAAGGCGTGCATATAAACATTCTCCATCATATTAACACAAATAGAAATGTCCAGAACCTTACAGGCCAAATCCAATGTATTATTTCAACCAGTAAATGCATCCTCTCCTCCTTTATGTTAACTTTGATTTTGATGCAATTACTGTTGATGTAAATAGAAATGTTTGCTGGTCTAAATTCTCCTCAATTCGTAATAAGACTTAAAATCCAAATTATTTTCTGAGGGTAACATTTCTTTGTGACTGAAAAAGAAAAGGGATGATTAAAAAATAAGAACACAAAGCCATCTTGTTACTGAAAAATTATAATTTTATTTCCAGGAAATGGGACATAATGTATAATTATTTATATAGGCGGTGTTTTTTTTAAACCCAGAGTTTTTGTATATAACAAAATGAAGAACACACTCTTTTAACAGAAAAATTAAAGGATTACTGATTAACAAAGTTTGCATAATACTGATTATGACCTCCAAAAGGATTAAACTTTCTTTTTTATAAAACAATTTTAACAATTTAAAAAAATCTGTTCTTTCCTGAGCGACCTTTTCATGCTTTACGTATTACATAGAACTAGGAGGTTTCCCATTTTGGATCTTATTAAGGACCATGGGATTCCAAGTAGATAATTTGAAGACCCTGTGCAAGTTTTCTTTCTCTCTTGGATTAATTGGAGTATGTGACCTCTTCCCTGTTCAGTATTTTCCTTTAATCTCACTTACCCAAGGCTGTAATTGAACCAGTGGCGAAATGTGCCAAAAGCAGAATGTAAAGTCCTAAAGGCTCTATAAAGTAGTAAGTTCTCACAACTTTCCTCTTATAGTTAGAAACATAATATCGGAATTTTTTAATGCAGTCAGCCTGTTGTTAGGTTTGCGAATGGAGTTTGTTCCTCTTTTAAGCTAACTAGATACTTCCCTGTTTGCTCTGTGTAGTTCTAGGACATATTGCATGGTGTAGGGCAGCCAAATGGAAGGAACCATTTATTTATTTCTTATACCATAGACGCAACCAATCAACAGAAACTTCCACAAAAAGTTTTCCGTTTTCTAGAGTCAACATCTTGAACACATATTGTGAACCTTTCTTGTGGGTTACAAATATGACTGGTAAAAGCTATCTTCTCTTTTTTTTTGTCAAGCACATTTTTATACCTCTATTAATATACTGCCCTTTAATTTTATATGGTATTCATCCCTTTGTTTTAGGTTATAAATACAATCAAAGAATTGGATAGTGTGCAATCCAATCCCAGTTATTGTCTTTTTCAGTTTGCTTTCTAAAATGTTCAGTTTATCAATGTCTTATTGTAAATGTCCTACTCCCTACCAAGTAAAATTTGCAAAGAGAGATGGAGTATGATCACCCGCGGAGGCCAGTGAAACTATTCACAGCACCAGGGACGATGACAATTGGAATCAGATTGCATACTTTTTCACCCAATTATTGTTAATTGGAATTTGATAGCAATGGATTTTAGAATTGAGAAGGGGAGGGGGAACACCATAAATTTGAACTATCTACAGGTAGAAGAGGAAGATCTGGCGGTTGCCAAATTATCTGCTCTTCCAGTCTCCTCATCCCAAGATCACTCATCCAATCCCCTGAACAAGAGGAACTGTGAAATTCAGTATCCCATTTGCCTTCCATTGAGAGGGAGCCACTGGCATTTCATTTCCAAATGGATTGTAAAATAAGTTATATTCCTTTCTTCTCAAAGCAAGTTGTATTCAGATGGTACATTTCTGGTGGTGGCCAATTTATCATAGAAGTGGTTGGCTTACTATCAGGTTTCCTGCACAACTTCATCTTGAACCTAACCTTATTAGGACAAAAATACCTTGGATGTAAAGAATGGCAAAGTTGTACATATCCATATGCTCTCAAGTGCAATATTTGTAAGAAGAATGTTGTTCCACTTGTGCTTTGTATAATTTTTAATCAGATTAAATTGGATTCAAACTCAGTTTCTTTTGGTTACTGCTTCTATCTTTTTCTTCTGGTGGCTGTGGAATGAAAAAAAAAACATCTCAAAAGCATATAGCGATCATAAATAAGACTTTTAAAAATCATGGCATGTTAACTCAGCACATACTGTACAATTTTATCTTTTAACATTTCTACAGCTCCTCCCTTTGCCATACTGTATGGTAATGATTGTTAAGTGGTCTTTTAACATTGGATGAAATTAAAAACATATACAGTGCATTCAGAAAGTATTCAGACCCACTTCACTTTTGTCAATTTTGTTGTGCTGCAGCCTGATTCTACAGTTGTTGAGATTCATTTTTTTCTCATTTATCTACACTCACTACCCCATAATGACAAAGTGAAAACAGAATTTTAGAAATGTATGTAAATTTATTAAAAAGAAAAACCAGAAATATCACATTGGTACAAGTATTCAGACTTCGCAACAACACTTGAAATTTAGCTCAGGAGCCTTCCGTTTCTTTTGATCATTGTTGACATGTTTCTATACCTTGATTGGAGTTGAGCTGTGGTAAATTAAATTGATTGGACATGATTTGGAAAGGCACACACCTCTATAGAATGCCTCACAGTTGACAATGCATACTGTAGCAGAGCAAAAGCCATGAGGTCAAAGGAACAGCCTGCGGAGATCAGAGACACGATTACTGCAAGGCACAGATCTGGGGAAGGTAAAATTTCTGTTGCATTGAAGGTTCCTAAGAGCACAGTGGCATCCATAATTCTCAAATGGAAGAAGTTTGGCACAACCAGGATTCTTCCAAGAGCTGGTCGCCTGAGCAATCGGGGGAGAAGGGCCTTAGTAAGAGAGGTGACCAAGAACCCGATGATCACTCTGACTGAACTCCACAAATCCTGTGTGGAGATGGGAATGGGACAGTGTTCCAGAAGGGCAACCATCACCGCTGATCTCCATTGATCTGGGCTTTATGGCAGAGTGGCTAGACAGAAGCCTGTTCTCAGTGCAAAACACATGAAAGCCCGCTTGGAGTTTACAAAAAAGCACCCGAAGTTCTCTCAGACTGTATAGAACAAGATTGAACTGTTGGCCTCAATTCAAAACGTTACATCTGGAGGAAATTAGGCAGCGCTCATCACCTGCCCAATATAATCCCAAAAGTGAAGCATGGTGGTGACAGCATCATGCTGTGGAGTGTGTTTTTAAGCAGCAGGGTCTGGGAGATGGTCAGTGTTAAGGGAAAGCTGAATGGAGCAAAGTACAGAGATATCCTCATTGAAAACCTATTCCGCAGCGCTCAGGACCAATTATAATTTTGAAAAGAAAATTATTAAATACTACTGTCACCGCAGTACTTCTGGTGTTACTTCTATTGTAAGAGGGCCAAATCTGGCCTATTCCATTCTGTTCCAGCTTTTATTCTACATGGAGTTTATGGGTAAGGAATGAATTCAGAGTGAGAACCCTATTCAGATGAGAAACACAGATGATCTGTGCTGCTGGAAGAAAAGGCCCAGTTTTAAAATTGATTTTGGTTTGCCCTTTCCCCCACCAACCCATAATCCCTGGTATCATTTGCTGAGCAAAAGATGGGTATTCTGCAAAGAATAGACAATCCACTATCAGAATTCCTTGGCCTCAGCAGTTACAAAGATATGCAACAAAGGCCTGTCAAAACAGTAATTTGTTCGTGCTGTCAAATCAGAACAATTCATGGTGGTTTACAAGCAAATCAAAACAAAACGTGACAAAAGTACAGAGATAAAATGTTCCAATAGAATACTGATCAGGTGTTAGGCTCCACCTCAAAGGCCCTATGAAAAAGCTTTATTTTGACTGTCTTGCAAAATAATGTCAAGTTAAGAATCTGCAAATGAGGCTTCTAAGAGAGATTGTTCCACAAGATGGCAATTACTATTGTACTTCTGATGTTGAATGCTGCTGCTGATTACAGTGTCTAAATTCATATTCAGGCACTTTAGCAGGAATTATGGAGAAGGGAGATTATGAGCTCTGCAGGTTCAAGAATCTAAAGGTAATAGCCTCTGTCTTTTTTTAAAAAAAAGAAATGTATTTTGACCCAGTAGAACATAGATCATAGAATAATGGGACCTTGGAGGCTTTCTAGTCCAACCCTCTGCTCCAGCATGAGACTCTATACCACTAGTGTCAAACTTGCGTAGTTACGTCACATAATGTATTGCGACTTTTTCCCCCTTCGCTAAACCAGGGATAGGGGTGGCCAGCGTGTGATGCATCTGGTCCGCGAGTTTGACACCCCTGCAATACCATTCTGGGACAAATGGCTTTAAAATCTACAGAGATGGAGCACTCACAACTTCTGGAGGCAAGCCATTACACTGATTATTTGTTTTCACTGACAGGAAATTTCAGTAAATTAAATGTTTTCAAAACTAATTAAATGCAAGTTTTGGGTTTTTTTAAAAAAAAATTCAGTAGGAGTCTCTGTTCCAGTCTTCCACTTAAAGGAGAAGTAAAAGACTGGTCCTCTTTTACTAAGAAGGTGCCTGAGCATGCTACCTTCAGACTCTTCAAAGGCACCAGGTAACTATTTTCTTTCTCAGTTTTTCAGCAGCTGAAAATCATTGGAAGATCAGGAGTGAAAATGAAAGTTTCCGGGACAAAGATCATTGTCCTGCCTCGCAGGTTAGAGAGAGAGAGAGAGAGAGAGAGATTTCGTCGTTCAGGCAAACAGCTGTGTAGGGTGGGTTCTGTTTACTCTTTAGAGCGCGATTAACTGAAAACTATAGTCCAGATTGAGAAAACAAAAGGAAAGAGGGTAATGACGACTCTCTCTGGCCTCCGGGTGAGAAAACTGCCTCGATGTGTCCACAGAAATTTCCAGGAATCAAGCTCGGTTCGAAGACTTTACTTTTTCTTTAGCCTCTGGGCGTGTCTCAGCTCTGTTCCTGGGCCAGCAGGTAAGAAAGCAAAAACGAAGCACAAAAACAGCTCCGCGCCCGCTATACAGTTTGCTATACATTACATTCACACACACGCACGCACACACATATATATTCATATTTATAGACATAGAGTATACGCTTGCTATACATCCAAGGTGGCCGGGATGCAAGTGGCAGGGCGAGGATGGCGGAAGTGCTTTGCTACGTTCTCGCTGCTGTTTTGAGTGGCGGCGAGGCGAGGGCGCCTCAAGGGCAAATGCAAACAGAAACTGTCGAGTCTGAGAAATATTGAGACCTGGCTGAGGTGTGTGTGGAGGGCTCTGGGGGCTCTTTGAGGAGAAACGGGGCCGACCTCGCAAGGCAGGTGGGCACAACTTTAGGTCACAGATCGGTCTCTGAAGGGGAGAGCCACCTGCCCTGGCTTCTCCAACGAGCGCCCTCGACAGCGCCGACGCGTTTTGCAAAATGCGTTCCTCGCCCAGAGCAAAGGTAAACGTCTTAACTTATTCCTCACAGGAACGAGCCCTCTTATTCATTAAACTCCGTCCTCTGGATCTGTGTATGAATTTGAAAACACCTCAACTGGGCAATGCTGTTACTATTGTGCTATTATTTATATTAACTCCTTGTTTAAACTAACAATATCCTGGTCTACTGATAACCCTGAACCGTAAACCGTGATTTACAAACTTATGCTCATCTAAATATAATTTTAATCTGATATGTTCATCATTTAATAAAACCCAGCCTCAAAATGCAAATATTACCTTGATCTTTCCTTTAGTTTTGACAAAAAAACCACATTCATTCATCATAGTGAAATTAATTTACAGGTGTGCCTTTTACAAGGCTCAGTGGCTAAGAGCTGAGCTTGTCGATCGAAAGGTCGGCAGTTCAGCGGTTCGAATCCCTAGTGCCGCGTAACGGGGTGAGCTCCCATTACTTGTCCCAGCTTCTGCCAACCTAGCAGTTCGGAAAGCATGTAAAAAATGCAAGTAGAAAAATAGGGACCACCTTTGGTGGGAAGGTAACAGAGTTCTGTGCGCCTTTGGTGTTTAGTCATGCCGGCCACATGACTATGCAGTCGTCTTCAGACAGCGCTGGCTCTTCGGCTTTGAAACAGAAATGAGCACCGTCTCCTAGAGTCGGGAACGACTAGCACGCATGTGCGAGGGGAACCTTTACCTTGGGGGAGGGATTAGTGAAATGAGTATTATAAGATTTACAGACTGCAAATGAAATGTTACAAGCTCTGATTATTGGTTTAAATGTAGTAAATTGCTCCATCTTGGCCTCTGGCTTTTGCACAGGGGCTAGGTTCAGACATTCTATTAAGCCTGAACTGGGTGCTCCAGATTAGAGTTTTTTGTGTTTCTTTATTGTCATACTGCATTGATGCCAATTGACTCCTTATTGAAACATTCTAGTTGGACCATAGATGAACTGTAATTAGCTAACGAAAAACAAAACTATCCATTGTAGTAATTTGCTTGTAATTATACAGTCACAATTGTGTCACCTGGACTGTGTAACTCCTTGCCAAATTCTGGCTTACTCCAAAAGTAGTCAATATTCCACTTAGTCTTTATGACCTCTAATTGCTCTCTGCCTCTTGCCATTCCACCACTGCTTTTTGCAATACTCCTTTTGAAATGTGAGAACTGGGAGGGGAGGAAAGGGGGGGGGGAAAGGTACAATTAATCATAATAATCTGTAATCTGTAATTTTTTTCATTTTTTTGTGAAGAAGCCTTAAAAGTAAGCATGCCAGCTCGGAAGACAGCAATCTTGGGTACAAATGTAACACTTCAGTGTCAAATCTCTGACTACCCTCCTCCAGAACTGGATATCAAAAAAACAATCTTCATCTGGTATTTGGAGACATCTGAAGGGAATAAAGTAGAAAAACTTTATTCAGTTGTTGCTGGAGAACATTCTTCAAATAGAAATGGTTCAAGATTGGATACAATTCAGTTAAAAAATGGAAACGCTGCCCTTTTCCTTCCACAAATACAGCTTAATGAAGAGGGCAAATATATATGCCTTGTGATTCTTACTTCTAATAAAGTTGAAGGAGCCACCATTCTAAATCTAGTTGGTAAGTGACAGTTGTGGTATACCTTTCCAGAGAGCAAACTTGTTCTTTTGCCATTCTTAAACTGTATTAAGATTTATCTGAATGCCAGTTGCATAAGATTGCATTCCAAATCTCTTCCTCTTATGAAGAAGGACCCCTCCAACTAGATCGTTGTAAGAAAGGGGAACCCTGGAAAGAGGGAGGTAGGAAAAAAAAAAAAGAAAGTTCCTCCCCATTTTTTCATTTTATATTGTCTCAAGAATCCCTGTGGGTGGTGTAATGGTTAAAGCATCAGGCTATAAACTGGGAGACTGTGACTTCTACTCCTGCTTTAGGCATGAAGCCACTCAGCCCTAGGAAGGAAGCAATAGCAAACCACTTCTGAAATTTTGCCAAGAAAACTGCGGGGATTTCTCCCGGCAATTGCCAAGAATCAACATTGTCTGTTCTTGTTCACTTTTCTCATTTTATTTAACCACAATATAAATAACTCTTGTTATTAGGGCAACTAATTAGTTGTAGTCGGCAGTGCCTGCATTGAATTAAACAAATATATTTTCTATGTCATACCTCCATGATACTGCCTTCAGCCAAAGAATGAGACACCTGTAGGTTGTTCTTAGCCTTACAGGTGTTTAAAAAGAAACTTTCTTCAAGCTGAAAGGTGCAAGGTGTTAAATTCACTAGTGTTTGGAAGGACTGGGGCGAGCCAGATCACAGATCCTAACGTTTATTAACAACCAACGAACTCAATACTAACAACAACAACGCGCGCCTGTTGACAGCTCTTTTATAGCTTGTCTGTCAAACGGGTGGCCAATCAGTAACAGTTTAGTTAACACGTGGCTGCTAGGAGGACGGCTCCCAGCGGCACGCAGAACACAACACAAGGGATGTACAAGTGATGAGGCTTTGCTACCTGCTCTCTTGTTGGCAAGGTTGGGTGATCAGCAAGAATCAAAGAGATATTTTTTGGCTGTTTCAAGGTAATCTAGGCATATCTTCTTCCATCTTCATTGGACCCTGGCTGGTCTTGTCTATCACTGTTCTGCTATTATCTGCCTAAAGAGTTAGATATAATGGCACATGAAACACAACATAAAAATTAAAAATATTTGGTGGGGTTTGAATGGTGTAACAATGAAATGGTAAAACAGGCTGAAGTAATGTAACACTAGGAACCTACTTCTCCTGAACAAAAGCTGGAGGTATCTGGAAATTAACTTGTTAAAGAGAGAGAGAGAGAGAGAGAGATTCTACATACAAATGTTGCTTGTGATTCTACTTCTTTCTGACACGTAAGTTTTTTAAAAAAAATTAAGTTAAATTTGGACAGGACAGAATGTGCTACACAGGAAGGAGCCTAGAGATAATGAAGAATCCTAGTCATTCATTCTGCTGTGCAAAGTACAGAAAAAAAAAACACACAAAAGAAATTACTGTATATGCATGAAAATAAAAAAAGAAAGAAATATGGCTAAAACTAATTTATACTTATACCATTCACTATGTGTCTCTATATTTTTCTATCCTTTCAAAACAACCTTGTTTCCACCACATGCCTACGCTGATTCATATTTTGCCTTCCCTCCCTCCCGCCTCTCTCTCCCTCCCACCCTCCCTCTCTTTCTTTCTTTCTTTCTTTCTTTCTTTCTTTCTTTCTTTCTTTCTTCCTTCCTTCCTTCCTTCCTTCCTTCCTTCCTTCCTTCCTTCCTTCCTTCCTTCCTTCCTTCCTTCTTTCCTTTCTTTCTTTCTTTCTTCATAGTCTTTGGAAAAGCTGTTATTTGAATTGGATGTTACATGCAAATGCTGTTTGGGAAGCTGAAAGGCAAAATAAAATACAACCTATGTAGAAAAATCAATAACCAATTCCATTTTTATTTAAATGCAATGTAGTTGAACCAACTGTCCAACTGTCTCCCAAGGAACTTGAAATTGAAAACGGAAACGTAAAGACACTGACATGTACAGTGAATAAATTCTATCCTGATGCAATTGTCATTCTTTGGCAAGAGCATTCTAAGCAGATGTTGGATAAAGGTGTACTTGCAGAGGATATTTGCACGGGAACTTCTGTGAGAAATAGTGATGGCACTTACAACACCACCAGTAAACTGAGACTTCAACCATCTTCACAAGATCAAGGAAACGTCTATAGTTGTATTGTGCAGCATGAATCATTTGCCAGATATCCAGTCTACAGTGTAACTTTAACAGTAACAGGTACTCACTATGAAAAATGTAACCGTTCTCTTGCTTAACAACAGACATTTGGGCTGTCAGTTGTGGTTGTAGGTTGAGGGTTATCTGTACTTGAAGTATTATATTAAATAAATGCTCCTCCTGACTTCTCAGCAGGGTTGATCTCAGTGGTGCACAACTTTTACCTATAATTTTACAGACTGAGGTAGAATCATATTCCTGAAATAATTATGAAAATATCTACAATGCTCTATCTAAAAGTGTTTATGAAAAAGTGAGATAACTAATAGAAGAGAAATGGAAAGATAAAGTCAAGTGCATTGGGACTACAAGGCCCAGAATTCCAAGCTAGTATGGCAATTTTTCTACATGACCTCAAATTGTTCATGCTGATAAAACATTCCACAAAATAAAACTTAAGGCAAAGAGCACCAATAGGCAACAAAATGGCATCCATGCTTCAGAGTAAGGAAATATTGTTTAGTACATTATGGGGGCAACCCTCCCCCCCAATATATTGTATGCACTGATAGGCCTGTGGTGGCTGATAGAATTGGTCCACATCTCATAAATTCTGCCCCAGACTCAATTAGATTGTGCTATTAGATGGTGCAGTAATTTCTTCTCATAACTTAGTGTAGGGGTGTCAAACTTGATTTCATTGAGGGCCACATCAGGGTTGTGTTTGACCTTGGGGGGCTGGGGTGGGCGTGGCCAGCTCAACATCACTCATATCGTGGGCACCTGTGGTGACTCGAGCACTCTGCCGGGGAAAACGGGCTCCCGAGTTCCATTTTCAGCTGTGACGGCCTCCTGCAACCCTCTGCCAGTGAAAACAGAGCTTGGAAGGGCCACCCGCAGGGTTCATCCATTTTTGCTGGCACCCTGGGGCGGTCCTTCATTGTTTTCAGGACGGCCTTGTGGGCCAGATCTAAGCACCCTGTGGGCTGGATCTTGCCCCTGGACCTTGAGTTTGACACGCCTGACAGTATTTTGCTTATGACAGAATACCCTATATCAGCATTGTTTGTTTCTTATGTAATTACATGTAAAATGCTTACTTATTAAAAGCACCAAGAGCAATAAATATTTTGTATCAGAAGCAACATAACATTTTCTTATTGTCTTTCTACAGACCCTAACTCAACTACTAGGTTAATCATTTGGCTGGTTTTAGGTTTCCTGATTTTTTTTCTTTTAGTTGGATTGCTTCTGTACTTTGTCTTTTTGAAGAAACGTAAGTCATTCTACATATGTCTTATCAGTACCATCATTTATCTATAAAATTGCAGCCAAAATTTATATTTGTGAAGGTTAATTTTAAAGTATCATTATTGGAAAACTCTTAGAGAACAGCCACACAGAAGCAAAGACCTACAGGGGGAACTGGAAAATAGATTAAACATAGGCAATTATGTTGCACCTATCAAATTACAGGTAATCCTCATTTAGCGATCACAATTGGGTCTGGTAACTCGGTCATTAAGTGAAGCAGTCGCTAGGTAAAATGGCATTTATGTTCTTACTTCATCCTTCCTTTTGCTTTATAGACCTGTGAAGGTCATATATGCAAGAACTGGTTACAAAATTATTTTCTTATCAGCATTGTAACTGTGAATGATCACTAAACAGGGCTATCATTAAATGAGGATTTCCTCTCATCTGGCTCCTTGGTTTACTGAGGAGCTAAGACAGATGAAGTGCCAGAAAAGATGCCTAGAGAGCAGTTGGAGGGCCAGTCTTTCTGAATCTGACCGAACACTGGTAAGATCTCATATTAAGAATTACCTAGTGGCGATAAAAGCAGCAAAATGTAATTATATTGCTGCTCTTATTGCGTCATCAGATAACCGCCCAGCGGCCCTGTTTAGGGTGACCCACTCCCTGCTCCACCAGGGAGCACGGGAGGACTCCTTGGAGGATAGAGCTGAGGACTTTGTACAGTTATCTGTATGACAAAATCACTCAGATTCGGGAAGACCTGGACTCCGACTGGGTAGTTTCAGGGGGGATGACTGAGGCAGGTCTTGAGAATGTTATCTGGGATGAGTTTGATCCTGTGACTCCTGAGGACATGGACAGGATTCTGGGCAGACTGAACGCAACCACATGTTTGTTGGACCTGTGTCCCTCTGGTTAGTGCTGGTTTCCCGGGAGGTGACGCGAGGCTGGCTCCAGGGGATTATAAATGCTTCATTGGGTGAGGGTGACTTCCCCGCCACCTTGAAAGAGGCGGTGGTGAGGCCTCTCCTCAAGAAGCCTTCCCTGGACCTGGCAGTGTTGGCAAATTATCGTCCGGTCTCCAACCTTCGCTTTGTGGCGAAGGTTGTTGAGAGTGTGGTTGCGCAACAGCTCCCCCAGCACCTGGATGAAACAATGTATCCTTTCCAGTCGGGCTTCAGGCCTGGGTACAGCACGGAAACGGCATTGGTCGTGTTGGTTGATGATCTCTGGAGGGCTCGGGACAGGGGTTGCTTCTCTGTCCTGGTCCTATTAGATCTCTCAGTGGCTTTTGATACCATCGGCCATGGTATCATGCTGCACCGGTTGGAGGAGTTAGGGGTGGGGGGCACTGTGTTGTGGTGGTTCTCCTCCTTTCTCTCCGACCGGTTGCACTCTGTGTTGGCAGGGGGGCAGAGGTCAACCCCGAGGCCCCTCATATGTGGGGTGCAACAAGGGTTGGTCCTCTTGTCCCTTTTGTTCAACATTTATGTAAAGCTGCTGGGTGAGATCATCCGTGGTTTTGGGGTGAAGTACCACCAGTACGCTGACGACACTCAACTGTACAGCTCCACTCCGGACCACCCCAACGATGCCCTTGAAGTGATGTCCCAGTGCCTGGAGGCCGTACGGATCTGGATGGGGAGAAACAGGCTCAGGCTCAACCCATCCAAGACCGAGTGGTGTGGTTTCCGACATCCCGATATAGTCAGTTGGTGCCATTACTGACTATTGGGGGTGAATCGCTGGCCCCCATGGAGAGGGCTCGCAACTTGGGCGTCGTCCTGGATTCACGGCTGTCTTTAGAAGAGCATTTGACGGCCGTGACCGGGAGGATTTTTCATCAGGTTTGCCTGATTCGCCAGTTGCATCCCTTTCTGGATCAGGACTCCTTACTCACGGTCACTCATGCCCTTGTCACTTCCTGCCTGGACTATTGCAATGCTCTCTACATGGGGCTCCCCTTGAGGAGCACCCGGAGGCTCCAACTGGCGCAGAGTGCGGCTGCGCGGGTGGTTATGGGAGCGACATGGCGTTCCCATGTAACACCTCTCCTGCGCGAGCTGCACTGGCTCTTCCAGGTGCGTTTCAAGGTTTTGGTTACCACCTTTAGAGCACTCCATGGCTTAGGACCTGGTTACCTACGGGACCGCCTGCTGCCACCAATAGCCTCCCACTGGCCGGTACGCTCTCATAGAGAGGGGCTCTTCCGGGTGCTGTCGGCCAAACAATGTTGACTGGCGGCCCCCAGGGGTAGTGCCTTCTCTGTGGGGGCACCTACTATCTGGAATGAGCTTGCCCCGGAGATATGGAGGATCCCGGATCTGTGCACCTTCCGCCGCACTCTTAAGACCTTTTTATTCCATCAGGCTGGCCTGGCCTAATCTTTTCCCTTTTTCCCTTTTTAAAATGTAAATTTTAATCTGTTTTAAATTATTGGGGTGTTTTAAATCTGTCTTGGGCCAAAATTGTTTAATTCGGTTTTACTTTGCTTTTAAATTTTGTATTTATGTGTTATATCTGTGGCTGTTCACTGCCCTGAGTCCTTCGGGAGTAGAGCGGTATATAAATCAAATAAAATCTAAATCTAAATCTAAATCTAAATCTAAATCTAAATCTAAATCTATGTAATCTTTTTAGATATCATTTTCCAGAACAGCATTAAACTGTTGTCTAAAAGAAATCCAATTATCAGCTGGAACACGACTCTAGTACCTGTGCAGAACACGAGTACAAAATCAGAGCGAATTTTGGCAGATGAGTAAACTTGCTGGTCTGGCCATTTGTGTGAATTCACCTCCTCTCTGCTCCCTCCATCCCATGTTAAAGAGAGTGATGGAGGGATGTCTATTCTTGGTGAAAGTAGAAAAAAAAAGCCAGAGAACCCAACAATCAGATTTCTTCATACCTCTCCCCATAAATGTGTATCAAGTCTTTTATCTCATTCCTGAGTCAGAATAGGGTTTGGTTATTGGAGCAGGGCAAAGTATCCCTGCATATATATTTTTTTCCAGTCTAATAACACAGCAGTGAAATGCACCGAGTAGAAACACATATAACTGTTTTTAAGAATAGAATAATGCTTTGTAAAATGTTGAAAGAATAATCCTAAAATATTGCTGCAACATTTCAAGCAACAGGGTTTCCATTTTCCATTATTTTTTTTATAGATCCACCATCCGTGGAAATGGTTGGAAGTGAGGAACTGAAGCATTTGGAAGAAACACAGTTGCAATGCTTGATTTCACACTTTCGACCCAAGCCTTTGCAGGTAGACCTCTTCTTAGTAATTGAAGTCCAAAATACAAAACAGAAAATAGCCTCTTGGCATACAACATCAGTTGAAGAACCTATGGAAGATGATGAAAATTTTCCTCTTCTTGGAAACTTAAAGGACATGTTCAAATTTTATCCAGATTTGAAATCAAAACCAAAAACCCATTATGATTTCCAGTGGAAAATCTGCATAAATCCAGATATACAGAAGCTGAAGAAATTTGAACTTTTATTAGAAGTTAAACATAAGGGCTTTCAGCATGGATCTTTTTCTAAAAGGAAATCATTTAAAGTCATAGGTAAGTGAGGATTATGGCAGAATATTAAATGATGCTGAAACTTTAAAATTATTTTATGGTTTATAAGAGAACTGATTTGTTTCAAGATGTATGAAAATAGAGGAGATTTATCTAATTTTGGTCCAGCCATGGTCCTAGCAGATACTGTATCTTCGACTACAATCCATGCACTGAATATGAATTGTGATAGGATATTGTTTATATCTTGGCATGGATGGGCTGGAAACAGCATTACTTGTATCTCAATATTTATGACTATGTGTTGCATCTGATATCCATGAACATTTTTTAAATTCTTTGAAGTATCTTACATCTCAAAGGGAAGCTAGATGTATCTTGGTTAGTATTTGAATCAGAGGTGGGTTTCAGCAGGTTCTGACCAGTTCTGGAGAACCAGTAGTGGAAATTTTGAGTAGTTTGGAGAACCGGTAGTAAAAATTCTGACTGGCCCCACCCCCATCTATTCTCTGCCTCCCAAGTCCCAGCTGATCAGGAGGAAAGATGCTATTCCATGTCACACTCTATAGATATAAAATGTTGTCCATGCTGTTTATCATTTCACCAGCTGAGGTGCAGCTGAATCCACCATATCTGTTCACTTCCCTAGCTAAAATTTGACTTCATTGGAAAGCATTTTTTGATGACAGACACGGAGTTTTTTTCATCTGTAGGGTTTTCCCGTCAGGTATTACTTTTAACAGATTATGTTTTTTTCAAAGATAATTTTAGACTGTTTAAAATGTTTCCACATCATTATTCACAGGATTTTCCTAAGTATTATTTTTATATTGGATAATGCACTCACATCTGTCTAGATAGAATATAGAATAATAGAGTTGGAAGGGATCTCGCTGGCCTTATAGCCCAACCCACAGCTCAAGCAGGAGCCCCTGTATCATTTCAGACAGGTGACTGTCCAGTCTCCCCTTGAAAAGCACGCTATTCCACTGGTTAATTGCTCTTCCCTGTAGTAATTTTCTCCTTAGTTCTAGGTTGCTTCTCTCCTTGGTTAGTTTCCAACCATTGTTTCTTCTCTTGCCTTTTGTGCTTTGGAAAATAGTTTGATCCCCTCATCTTTGTAGGAGCCCCTCAAATATTGGAACAGTGCAGAGGTGGGTTTTAGCAGGTTCTAACCAGTTCTGGAGAACCGGTAGCGGAAATTTTGAGTAGTTCAGAGAACCAGTAGTAAAAATTCTGACTGGCTCTGCCCCCATCTATTCTCTGCCTTCCAAGCCCCAGCTGATTGGGAGGAAATGGAGATTTTAGAGTATCCTTCCCCTGCCACGCCCACCAAGCCATGCCACACCCACCAAGCCACACCCACAGAACCGGTAGTAAACAATTTTGAAACCCACTATGGGAACAGTGCTATAATCTTCCTCCTAGTCCTTCTTTTCATTAGACTAGACATACCCAATTCTTGTAACTGTTCTTCATATGTTTTAGCCTCCCGCTCCTAATCATTTTTGTTGCTCTTCTCTGAACTCTTTCCAGAGTCTCAACATCTTTTATGTATTGTGGTGATCAGAACTGGATGCGGTACTCCAAATGTGGGCTTACTAAGGCTTTGTAAAGCATTACTAGAACTTCGCATGATCTGGATTCTATCCCTCTGTTAATGCAGCCTAGGATTGTTTTAATAGAGGGACAGAATCAAGATCACATGAAGTTCTAATACTAGTATCAGATCTGAATACTGATAGAGATCTAGATCAGATACATTTCCCACCATTAAGCAACTCTAGATTGTTGGAAAATTGATGTGGGTGATTTTCAGTTTAGTTTACACACAGTACATCCCAGTCAATCCCTTTATTCAGATCATAGCTGCATATACATCACTCATTTCAGCTAGCAAAAAATAGTTTGATGTTTATTTGTGAAACATCACAAAGTTTAAAAATAGTTAAAACAGGATAAAAGGCAGACAAAAGTAAAGAGAGAGAGAAACTCAAACAAAACACAACATTTTACATTATCTGTCTATCTAGATCAGGGGTCTGCAACCTTAAACACTCAAAGAGCCATTTGGACCCATTTCCTACAGAAAAGAAAACACCAGGAGCCATAAAACCCTTCCTGTGCCTGACTGTTTCTTGAGCGGCCCCAAAACTAGCATATGTAGTTGAATTAAACGTTCTGTTTTCTTCTGAAACTTTACTTTTCTTGGATTTATCCATGGTTGGCCTACTGGGGGTTGAAAAGCTCAATAAATTGCGTGCTGGCGGGTGCACATTGGTGGTTGTGATGCATATTTTGAGTGACAGGGAGCCGCAGCAGAGGGGTGAAAGAGCCACATGCGGCTCCAGAGTCACAGGTTGCTGACCCCTGATCTAGCTATATGTGTGTAAAAAAGAACAGAACTTTCTAGTTGAAACAACACTGTAGATATTTAGCATGGATAGTCCCGAAGAAGGAGGGCCTTTGGTTCTTCCAGCTTTAACCCTTTTAATTATATAATGGCAGCCAAACACAAATGGAAACTGGGACACTAATTGATCCTTCTATTCCGCACCATAAAGAAACAATTTGGTGGCCAGGGATGATATATCCAATAAGACACCTTTGACCTTTCAGCTGACAGAGATACTGATTTTTCTACAGTCAGGGTTCCTTAGCTTGGTCCTCCCTTGCTTTGTGTAAATAAACAGCTATGGAATAGTGGGCAAGGAAAAATGGTAAGAGATGTCATCAAAGCTTTGGAAGACTCAGGCATTGCCTTTGAAGGCTCTTCATTATTATCTGGGCATATTGCTACACATCACATTTTTGCTGTTTGAATTGAAACCCTTTTGGTTTTCTTTCTAGCCTTACCAATGCTTCATGAAGTTCATTGTTCCACAAATGTGCCAAGATCAAATGAACCGCTCACTCTTAGTTGCAAAATTCATTCTTATTTTCCGGAAACCCTTGAAGTCTGTTGGAATAACGATGATGGAATTCTAGACAGTTCCTTTTCAACTCCACCCACAAAAGGTGCTGATGGGCTTTACTTTTGCATCAGCGAGATCCAGTATAACCCCCAAGTGGAAGATTCTGGAAAGAGGTTTGTCTGCAGAGCTAAGCTTGAAGGATCACAAGCATACAAAGAATCTGAATGGCAGATGGACATTGTGGGTAAGTGGAACAGAAAAACTACAGTTTTTATTATCCTATATTGTACATTGCATGTTTTACTCTTAAGGCCTAAGGCACAGAGAAATTCTAATAAAGTGCAGCTCATCTTTTGCAAAAAAAATAATAAAATAATAATAATAATAAATCCTGTTCCTCTGATATAATTCCACTCTTTTAACAACTGACACTTCTAAACTTTTACTGCTGTTGTAATAATAGTCACAATCCCTTACTTTTTCTTTTGTTGTTCCCTCTTTCAATTCTTCTCTTCCCACATTGCCACAAGGTGTGATTTCAATTAAACTTTCTTTTCTCAGAATAATATTCCATGCATCTCAGAATAAGACTCCTCTTACAATATGTGTATAAAAAATACATCTATCGATACTTAAGTTACAAAACCCCTTCCTGGTAATAGAAGAGGAAGACATATATCTGTTATGGCGACCCCATGGTACGCGTGCCAGAAGTGGCACACAGAGCCCTCTCTGCTGGCATGTGCATGGCATGTCAGATCACCGTGGCGTTTCTTTCGTGAACTTCTGTTTCCCTGCAAACAACGAAACAGAACTCATGAAAGAAAAAGATCTTACCTCTTGCTGTGCTGCGGGTGTTGGGATCCCCCACCTCCTGCCAGCCAGCTGGTCTTCGGGTCTCTGCTGTGCATGCGCGCATGTCTCGCACCTTGCACCTTTCAGGTTGGGTATGCACGCACCATCACTGACATATATGCTCTCAGACCAGGGTTTGGTATCTGAAATCAACTCAATTCTTTCATGCAATATTCTTCTGAAGCAGAACGGGATATTGCTGAGTAGGTTACTCTTTGATGGCTTATGGTGTAGCTTCATGTAACACTTGCCTAGAAGTTGGATGTGCAAAATGGGGAAATATATGCTAATAGCTTTAGTTGCATCTATGTGCGGATTACAGGATCTCTGTTTTTTTAAAGTGTGTAAATGTGCCTTTGTGGAATATTACATGAGCAAGCAAAAATCTATTTCCATACCAAATTAGAAATCTTCATTGATATTATTTTATCATTGAGACCATTTTTTATTTCATTTTTCATCAGATGTATAATTTATATCCATTTGGCACTTTATTGTGTTTGGATGATGACTTTGGCACTTAGTTGTGTAAGCTAAACAGTCATGTGGGAAGAGAAGTTTGTGGTTTGACTTCACAACTCTGTACTGAATATTAACTCTGTTATTTGCTGTTGTGCTTTATTTACAGTTCTGGCTCCCAAAGTTTGCAAAATTGAATGTAAGCCCTCTGTACCTGAGTGTGGGAAATGCATCACATTGAGTTGCCTATTGACAGAATACCATCCACCTGAGTGTGACATTTATTGGAGAAAGGGCTTTGAAGAGCTTATGGATGCTACAGTTAAAACAGAGGAACCGCAGTTGGACAGAATGTCAAAGCTGTACTCCAGGACGAGTGAAATAACCTTTATACCCAGTGCAGAAGACCATGAAGTAGAATTCTTTGTTGAAATAAATCATTGCAAGAAAATTGTACGGAAGGGATATACAGTCATGCTGAAAGGTGATTGTTATCATTGCTATAAAAAAAATCTATATCCAAGGATATAGGAGTGTCTATGGAGATTCTCAGTCATCCAGGTCATGGTTGTCCCAAATGTGCTTTTTTCAAGATGCAACTGGACTTTCTGGTTTTTCTTTGAAGACGTTTCGCTTCTCATCCAAGAAGCTTCTTCAGCTCTGACTGGATGCTGGGAAATGGAAGGATTTATATTCCTTGCAGGCAGCTGGTCATTTGCATTCTTTTAGCGGATTATTAAGGTCACCTGGACATTTATCTGTGTCATCATGGCCACCTGAGTGGTGCAAATGGGTGTGGAGCCTTCTTGGAATTGTTGAAAGGACTCTGTTGTAGATTGGAGACAGATGATGTCGAATCCCTCCCCCTCAGTTGAGAGAGGGCTGTTCAATTTTGACATAGATGGCTTCTTTGACCCCTCTTTCAAACCAGCAATCCTCTCTGTCCAAAATATGGACTTTGTTGTCTTCAAAAGAGTGGCCTTTGTTTTTTTAAATGCAGATGGACTGGTGAATCTAGTCCTGATGTGTTCGTTCTCCTGTGTTGTGCTATGCGTTTATGGAGTGTTTGTTTTGTTTCCCCAATGTACAACAACAACCACCTATACAACAAACAATCACTTCATAAACATATGGACAGAAAGGATCTACTGGTTTGAAAGAGGGGTTAAAGTCTTCAAAGAAACACCAGAAAGTCCAGTTGCCTCTTGAAAAAAGCACCTTTGGAATAACCATGATCTGGATGACTGAGAATCTCTATAGACAGTTGTTAAGGTACTAACCCAGTTATTAAATCTGGATTCCCCATTAACTTTGCTTGTCAGAAGGTCACAAAAGGTGATCACATCACCCTGAGACTCTGCGACTGTCATAAATAGGAACCAGTTGTCAAGATAGATAGATAATAGATAGCTATCTAGCTATCTAGCTAGATAAACAAACTTTATGGTATTGTTACACACATTTTACTTCTAAGTTCACATCAGTATATAATAACATGCCATGGATTAATGTGTGGAAACAAACCAAATAGTGAGAAGCACTGATGTCTCACTGCATGACTAACATATGTACACAAGAAGCAGGGAAACGGAAATAATTGCTATTTGCCTAAATCAATTAAGAGCTGCTTTCATGTATGAGCACTGTTCTGTGTGAAATAGTGCTGTTAATCTATTGTAACAGCACAAGTTCATATTGAACGATGGTTCCTTCTTTCTTGTGGTAACAATATAGTGTTAAAAATTATTCTTATCTCATCTGATGCTTTGTAGAGTAGGGTGTTGTTTTCATGTAGCAGTGATTCCTTGTCTAATATTGATTTCTCTGTCTTGTCACATTTATAGATTTTCCCAAACTTTCAAATATTGTTATTGAACCAAGTGATGCAGATTATGGAGAAAGTGTAAATTTAACTTGTGATGTCACAGATTTCAATCCTAAAAAAATTGGTACTCAGTGGTTCCTGGGAGATAATTCAGTAATGAATGGTGTAGTCACAGAGGATTTAGACATGGCCTGTAATGGTTGTTACAAATTAACTTCCGTGTTTGAACTAAGAGCTACCGCTTCAGTTTGTGATAAGGCCATTTGTTTCAGGGTGAGCCATGCAAGATTGAGAAAACCTATTACAAGAGAAGTGTATCTAAAACTTCCAGGTATGTACCAATTTTTTAATTTAGTTTTCTTCTGATGTTAATTGGTGAAGTCGGGTTCCGTTTATCCTTTTTAGGCTTTATTAAAAGTAATAGAATTTAACAGGTGAGGAGTGTGGCACAGCCCCATTTCCTATACCTGCAATGTTACTTCAAAGAAAATCTCCCTGTCTGTAGCACTGTTAATCTGTCTTGTGTCCTTTGTGCTGTGGATACCAGGAATTAAGCCACAGCCCAGATGTAACATCTGTGGGAGCAGAGGTACTCATCATCATCTCATTTTCTTCTTTGACCATGCCATCTGGACACCCCTGGCTTTTTATCATGTATGGGAAAATATTTATGGGATAAGTTTATGTGATTTACCAGTAAGATGCATAGACATCCATTTCCAACAACAATGGCACCCAAATGATGGAGCATGATGACACAACACAACCCCTGTCCTTTCATACTTGAATTGCACATCACAACACATACACACATTCTCCTTCCACTGTAGATGCCTATACTATCATATGTAATGCTGTCACTGAATTTCAACCAAGTGCTGGAAACACACAAAAAACTGTAGAATAAGCCACAACAACATGTATGTTTGTTTTGTCTTTTTGTACTTTTTTTTGGTGTAGTCTTGTTTAGCTTTATTTTGCTTTTGTATTATTATTTTTTTTGAGTTTGTATTTTAATGTTTTCAGTAAATAAAAATTGAGAAATCAACAACAAAAACAACAACAAAAAAGTTTGCTATGTCCAGCTTAAACGGTCAGTCATAGAGAAGGTTGCAGACATGATTTTCATTCATTGGGTTTTGTTGCAAATGGTGCAGAAAGTGTCTTCACCTTGTGGTTGGTAAAAATTGTGCAGTTGGTCTTATGCAATAGTTCCATTATGCAAGATTCCAGAGGATCAATCCTTAAAAGTGTTTTCTTATATTAAAAATTGTTCTTGCATTAATAATATTAAGCCAAGGTTTGGAAACATATTATTTACATTGTCATTTCTGCTCATTGTTTTTCCTTCTCATTTAGTCAAGCGGCCTGTTTTGTCTGAAATAAAGGTGACCCCAGATCATCAGAATATCCTCCTTGAAATTTTTATATCACAATTTGCACCTCATGATATACAAGTCAGATGGTACCATGGCTGGAGACAAATATCTGAAACTATCAATCCCAAGAATATTGAGATTGGAAAAGATCACTTATGTTATCTTGTTAGTAAAATACACTTGGATCCAAAAGCACTGGACTTTGGGAAGACAATACGATGTGAAGTTAAACATCCAACATCTACTGAGGAAAAAAGCTTAACACTGAATACAATAGGTAAGTTGGATACATACATAAATACTTTATTTATTGAAGGAGTATCCAGACCAGTGACTATTTTCCAACAACTGAATATGCAGTTGTCTCCCAATTGTTGTAATGGATCCAAAATTCTCACTCACTAAATAGTAACAATGAAAAAAGGGAAAAACTGTAGTGTAAGCAGTGTTAGCTACATAAAGAAAAGGGCTCTGTAGTGGCCTATTAGTCACTCCACCATAGACGTTATTGAGCTAAAAGAAGACTTTTGCTGTATCTGCTTATACAGGCTGTTGATATCTGTGACCCGCATCAGTGTTAAATTTGTTTGGTCTCAGCATCCCTTCCTACCTTTAAAAATCATGGAGAACCTTAAAAGTGCTTTTGTTTATATGGGTTATATTTATCAATATTTATCCTATTGAAAATTAAAATTGATACATTTGTTGCCACTAATGTTTCTCACAAATGGTTGACAGGCTTTTTATTTTTCAACATAGGCTGGCAAATAATTTTGAATTGACAGACCTCTGAGAGAGTTTTGGGGGACCCCTAGGGGTCTTTGAGCCACCTTTTGATAGGTACTGACCTAGATGCTAAACAGCCCACAATCTGTATGTAACTATGGTACTAGTGATGGTCCTTTATTCCAGATCAGAAAGTTATGCGACTGTTCAGATCTCTTGAGTGGCACCTAGCCTACTCCCACATTGCTCTAGGTTTATTATGACTTAACTATCCATATCTGCCTGCACAGGGAAAGGAAGGAAGTATATAACTATAATGGATCAAAAACCGCATATGGCACAAAATTACAGCATGTTATCTTTTGGAAGGATGCATAAAGCTTCCCCAATCTATGTCAGTTCAATTCTCATCTTGCTGGTGTGGTAGCTGCCATCTATATTAGAAGACAGAAACTCTTAAAAAGTATATCAAAATGCAAAAAGTGAGCCACAAATAGGCTGACTTATTTCAACAAGCAAACTTTTTTTAAAAAATTCCTGTGTAATGGCCACGCTATTCTGTTTGTATGAGACATACTGAAAGTGCTATTTTAAAGCTAATAGACTGACAGACTGAGGATAATGAAAAATTGCTTGATGATCTACTCTGGTGAAGTTGGCTCTATCCATAAATGTTTGTACCATGTTAATTTCTAAAAATCAGAAGATTCTTAGTATGGTTGCTAGAATGGATTCTACTCAGAAGCAGTGGCATCTGCAATGATGCTCAAACCAATCCATCTGATGAAACCATCACATTAACATGATATAAGACTTGCTCCTTTTATATGTTCATTATGACACTACACACATATTGAAAAGGAGGAGAATTTGTGGCACAATACTGCTATTATTTTAACAAAAGCAGTCACTGGGTTATATTGTCATCCATGACTTTGGTTCTTAAGAAGTATATAAATCCTAATAGGAACCTTAAGTACACCAATCTCTTCCTTTTGCAATGAAATGTTGAATGTATCAAACAGCAATTGATATTTCTTCCATGATTCTTGGTCCTACAACAGCATGGAATGCTCTTTCTGAAAGACAATTGAGGGCAGTTGACTGTTTTACTATACTTAGATTATTGTGATATGACTTGAAATATGTTCCAAAGTTTAAATGAGTTGACTTGATTGTTCTTTCTCTTCCAATTCCAAGATTTCTCTGATCTTCTTGAGGAAACCCAATATCATCACCATGAGTCATAACCATTAGGAACTCCTTCAAAGTAAGTATTAAACTTTGAATGCAAGTAAAATGCTGATATGTGCATAGATTATCATATTGGTGATAAACTCTGTCAATTTGGGACTTGTATTTAGATTTATAGTTGACAGTAATAAAAAATATGATCCAGAAAGGAGGGAAGGGGAAGATGGTCTTTGTAGGGAGAACAAGAAAGAATCTGGGAGAGAGAATCTATAGTAAATCAAGTTCATTTTCCCTAGCAGATTGATACTTGGAAATCTGATCCTGGTATCACTCAGGACTACTATTCATTGCATCAGGGGCACCTGAGCTAAAGCTCCCCTTACTCATGATTTAATAACAGGTGAGAGGGCTCACACAGCATGTATACTCAAGACCTGGTTTGGCACAGAGAATTCCTCTTCTGGAAAGGTGCCACCTGGGCTTTCAATATAGCCACAGCTGCCACCCCACAGCAGGAGCAGTGAATGGAATGGCTAGAATTGATTTCAGAGACCTCAGATATCAGCTGTGTGGTTGAACCAAGATAGGATTTTTTTGAAGTATTACTTTGTGGCAAGAAGAGGAGCAAAACATAATTATTTTCCAACTGTTATTGCATCTGCAGAGAGCTGTCCAGCCACTTTGATCAGAATAATCCAATCTTCCCTGGAGAAGGAAGAACCTACAAACATCTACAAGGCCATTGTGAAGACTATTCTAGCCATCTGTTGGATAAAATTGTTTGAATTCACTCTGAGTTAGACTTCAGCTGTGCAAGATCCTGGGACTGGGCTAATGTAGTTAAGTGAGAAGAATTTGAACCTGTTGGATCTAAGGAAATGGATAAGATCGTCAGTGCTGTGAGTGTAGCCAACCGTATATTAGTTCCATGTTTACCTGGTTGGATAACATCTTCCAGGAGGGGATATATAATCCATCCAAGCAACAATGAATGCTTTTATTATTTTAAAAATAATAGAAGTTTTAAAAAGGTGGTAGTCCATCCCCTCAGGAAAACTCTGCTGGATGCAGCAGTATTGGACAATCATAATTTACATTCCATTTACTCTTAATCCCAGTTTGATGGGCATGGATTGGGCAGCTATCAGCACATTTACTATAAATGGAAAACATAACTCACCCATTTTTATGCCCCCTAAGTTATTTTATTAGAATATAAACATAACGTTACATTTGTATTCTAGGAAAACTAGAGACATTTTATTGAAATAGTTCCTTTTAAGTTTTTTTATTTTTAATTGGCTATTAGGCTTTTTTGTATATGTACCTTTTTTCAAACCATTTGAAAAGATATTAATATATTTTGTTTACAGAATGCTATCATTTTAAAAATTCAGAAAAAATAGATAACTTGTACTTTAAATAAAAAATTAAAACATTAAATTTATACATTTATAAAAAATTGCCCCTTTTGTCCTCCATTATTATTTTAATGGGCGGTTTTATACTTGTTTTAACTATAGTTTATTTAATTACAATTGTAAACTCCTGCAAGATTTTAAATAGGAAATAGTCAAATATTTAAACAGATAAAAATAGTTCAGTCTTTATTATTATATCTTTGGCAAATCTAAGATGACCCTCTCATGATAAAATTGAATTTATTATAAAAGTTAAGGAAAAGGTTTTAAAATTCATCTTACAGACAAATTATTAAGGGTTATACTTTTCTGATTTACTTATCTACTCATCACATCCCTGGATATACTAATTTCCCTTCATAATATATAATTTATCAAGGGACATATTATTATTAGTGTATAATTTAATAATAAACAATCAAAAGAGAAGTATATTTTAAAAAGGCTAATCCATTGTAATAGCTCCACACTGTTTTTATCAGAAGTTATTTCAGAGTACGAGTGCAAAATAATGACACACCCCTATTAAAAATTAAGTTCTCAGCAGGACCTCTTTCCAGGTCTATTAGTTCCATATTTCAGGGACAGCCCACAAACAAATCCTGAAGAAATAATTTAAGTAGATTACAGAAGCTAAATTGTTATTATCCATTTGGTGCTTCAAAAACCAGGGAGGGAGGGAGGGAGGGAGGGAGGGAGGGAAGGAAGGAAGGAAGGAAGGAAGGAAGGAAGGAAGGAAGGAAGGAAGGAAGGAAGGGGAAGGAAGGAAGAAAGGAGTTAAGAAATCTGCAATGTGGAAAAAATGAAGTTTCTGATTTGCCATTAGTTTTATTTATATATCAAATTTATACTGTATGGCTGCCCATCTCACAAAAATTGAGAAGAACCAGGGCTGTAGAACAACTTAGTTTACGTAGGTAAAACCTGGCTAGAAAGAATATGCACATAAAAGCCTACGAAAAAGAAAAAGACACATTGTACCTTTACAGGGAGGATATCTGAGAAGTGGGTGTGGCTCACTGATGACGCCTTAAAAGGCAGAAATAGCTATCTGAGTCTCCCAGAGAGCAACACAGAGTTGCAGTTTGTCAGCAGAAAAAAGGCCCAGAAACTTGTGAATGAGATTTCACAGAACCAGGGCTGTAGAACAACTTAGTTTACGTAGGTAAAACCTGGCTAGGTTCCTCTTGGCTTCTAGGTGCTCACTAAGAAAGGATTTTTTGAAATGACCATCAGAGCATTAGTATTTCCTATATTACTATTAACACGCTCTGATGCTAAGGAGTTCTACTCCCCCTCCCCACCTGAAAAGAAATTTGTTCTAAATGCAAAGCACAAGCAGAGGAGAGGAGTTTCACTTTCAGTTTTACTTTCACAGCAGCTTTACTACAGAACAGTTGAGCTAAGCCACTCCCAGCCTTCTTCCTGTCTCCTCCTTGCTCACACAGCAAATACTGTTTGAGTTTCTAATTCAAACAACCCCTCAATTGTCTAACACACTGACAGGATGCTAGCCAGATGAATACCAATGGATGCTGCAGGCTGGGACATTCTACTCCCCGCTCCCCCTCTGTTCCAACTGCCAGTTGCATTATATTAACACACTCTGATGCTATGGAGTTACACATTCTACATTAAGTTTCAGATTGTAAGTGTCAATTTATCAAGCCCAAGCACATAGTTTCGTAGTGAAGCATGGGCGTCCAGCTAGTTCTATATAAAGCTAATCAAAATTCTGCATATTATCTGATTAGTACAGGAGTAGCAGATGCTTTGTATCAAGCATCCATCCCAGCCTTGCCCATCACAACTGTTCCAATCCAATCACCTTACTAGGGCCACAGTTATTTTAAAAACAAAATAGAAAGAACACCCTGCTAGGAAGCGTTTACACACATAAGAAATCTATGCTTCTGAAGTTATTCCTCATTAAGCTGAAGAACCATAAACTGTACTTGATGTTCTGTCTTTTATTAGCCACAATCTGGGACAGGACATATAATTTTGTGTTACATAACTCCTTGCCACATAATCAAAAATAGTACATAGCATCATTTGCTGCATAGTAACTGAAATGTCTAAACACACTTCAAATTTGCAGAGTTGTCTTCTCATTAATCCAAATGCAAGGACTGTTTCAGAACTGGGACATACTTAATCATGGATTTAATTTAAACAAACTGATGTTAATTCAGTCCCTCTTTAGGATGTCCTTGTGTTCTGCCCAATCTCAAGTCATCTTCCCAGCTTCCCTCCCTCCAGGTATGAAATAAAGGAGACAATGGTGCTACAAGAAGGCACAAGCAACACATTGCCAAAAAAAAAATCAAAATGTTCAAGTGTGGTAAAGATGAAGAAATCTGAGCAGTACGACTTGTCGTATAAGCTGAAGTCACCAAGACAAAGCCAAACACATCCCATTATAGCTTAATGTCCCATGTGAACCCAGATACTGGTGCTCATGTCTTACAGTATAGTGTGTTCTGTGAATCTAGCCATTGTGGCTTGTTCAAGCAACCATGGTTAAAAGAACCCACTGGTTAAAGCAATGTGTGAATTCAGCACCCCAAAAAACCTGGTTCTTTTGACTTTCTCTTTTCTAGAGAAGTTTTCTTGAATTATAAGCTTCAACCATCTTAGGACAGCCTGTTAGTTTGCTTGCTTAGTTATTTACTCATATATTTTGAAGAGTTATAAGGCTGTCCAATTCAAAACAATGTGACTCTGGGCTGCATTCCTCTAAAAGCATTATAGCTAATTTAAACTTTTTCTTTTCTTTTAATAACATAGACTTTATCCTTGAGAATAGATTTTGGTGAGGCATAATGGGAGTTGCAGTTGAAGAGACCAAGATGATGCCAAGCTACCCAAGGTTGCAGTAATGCAGTGTTGGCGAACCTTTTCGGCACCAAGTGTCGAAACGGGAGTGCACACATGTGTGTGCCAGAAACCAGAAGAGCAGCTGCCCGGTGTGCATGTGCATGCCGGGAAGATGATCTTCCAGTTTCTGGCGTGCGCAGGCACACCGGCCAGCTGGTCTTTGCACGTACATGCACACCAGAAACCGGAAGACCAGCTGGCTGGTGCGCATACACACGCCGGAAACCGGAAGGTCATCTTCTTGGCGTGTGCATGTGCACCGAGAGGCTGCTCTTCCGGTTTCCGGTGCTCCCATGCGCATGAAGACCAGCTGGCTGGCGTGCTGGAACCCAGAAGAGCAATGAGTGAAGAGATGGCTCTGTGTGCCACTTCCAGCATGTGTTCCATAGGTTCGCCATCACAGTAGTAATGGGATACTGTAGGTGGACTGTGCTGACTTCCATGTTCTGAGTAGGGGTGAAGCCATCAGGGAGTGGAGTCTGAAGTAAGTTGGGCCACCCATTCTCTTTCTTACCTTTTTTTGTTTCTCTGATCGGTTCTCTCTTTCAAGGCTGAAGAAAAGCATTTGAGCTTTTCCAGCAGATCAGGGTGACCTGCCGGTGATGTGAAGTATTGCTGATCTACAATATTTTCCCCCCCCCCGCTTTTTTTTCCTAGCTTTTTTAGTTTTTTAAATTGTCAATGGGTTTTAGTTTGAATGTTTTAAATTTTGGGGCCAAAGTCATGAAATTTTTTTAAAAAAATTTAAATTTTGTATTGGTATGTGTTTTAGTTTTGGCTGTGCACCGCCCTGAGTCCACTAGGAGAAGGGCGGTATACAAATTGAATAAAATATAAATATAAATAAAATATTTCATACTGAGAAAAAAAAATCCACAATGAAGGTGACAGACTGGGAATCCAATTATATAAAAATATCCATGTGGTGATTTCTGAGGAGCCATTATTTTTGCTTTGCTATTGAAAATTAGTTAGTTTAATGGCGAATGAAGGAGTTTAGTCAAGTTTAAATTTAAAAGTTTAATGGAGGAGGTGGGAGTTTAGAATTATTTTCCTCAACCCCCTTATTCATTCGCATGTGCTTGTTTATTCCACCTTAGTCGTGATGTGACTCAGAAGCCCATCAAGACACAGCTGCTGGAATGCCTCCTGTGTGGCGAGGGCTCCTCTGACAGAGGCCATGTCTTTAGGACATACCAAAGTGTTTACTCACTCCACTGTCTTGAGCAACTCTGCTCCTATTACACCAACTCTGAATTCTTTGCATTTGCAACCCATGAAGCGACAAGGGGCTGCCTGGCCTGTGGCCTTCTAACGTGTGCTACCTTTAACAGAAGCAAAATATAAGCAAGAAAGTTGACCTTGGCTGAGGCAAACAAACTGTGCATCTCACCTTCTATTATTTGTGTCAACGTTTTAGTCAATTCCTCCTCCCTGGACTGAACTGTCAGCTCTTTCTTACGTGGCTGTTATTGTGTCACATACCTTGATGCAGAAAGCCGTTGGATCATGTTGTGACACTCTCAATGTTCTACCTAGTAAAGGAGGCACCGTGTTTGGTTCTTATTGTTCTATATTCCTGTAGCTTCTTCAGGAGTGGTCCACTGATCAGATTGGCCATGGTGAGAGAACACTCATGTCATGAAGATCTCCCCCAACCATGCATTAGAAGACAAGAGTGCCCACTGCAATTCTCTGCCTCTGAGCTCAGCCAGAAACTCACACAATAACTAACAAGTGAGAACAACAGAGATGCTATTGCGTGAGATCCCTCCCCCACTTTGTATTCAGTTCCAAGCGTACAAGTTGTTATCTTACAGCCTGTCAGGCCTCCCTATTATGGGACATCAGCAGTGCTGAATTTCCAAATATGGGATGGTTTCTGGATTCCTGCATGACAAACCAGGTACTTACATGTTTCAGGCTCAGCCTTATTCAGCCCAGGAGGAAGTTTCAACCATGCATCCTTCTCCATTCTGAAGCTTTCTGGATAGGCTGAACTACTATCCCAACAATTCAGTTTGCTCAGACTGGTGTGGAATGATGGGAGATGTAATCCAATAGGCCTGAAGGATT